GCATCAGCGCGGCACTCCACATGCAGATGGTGTTGCCTTCATAAGTCAATGTCCAATTTTGCCAGGACATACATTTACCCATACATTTACAGCAAGCCCACATGGAAGCAGTTTCTATCATGCACATATTGGAGACCAGCGTAGCATGGGATTATATGGAGGATTGATAATTTATCCCAAGCACAAATTTTATTCTCAACCACAAATTGGCTTCACTGTTTTACTACAGGACTGGAATCATAGCGATGACCCAGAAACATTATATCAGCGAATGCTTAATGGAGTTTATAACTTGAACAAAAGCCCTCCGACATTAATAGATGCAACACAGTCCGATTTGATTTCATTTGTACTTGCACATATTCTGTCGATCTTGAATTTGGAAAGGTGTATCAATTTGTTCTTACAAACATTGGCAGTGGGCGCGGCTGGTCTCATCCAGTTCATCTACATGGTCATTATTTCTTCGTCTATAAAATGGGATTTGGTGAATACAATGTAAATACGGCCAAATTTATATCTGAAACGGAGGACATCGAATGCCAGAGAACTAATACAACTAATTATTGCAATTCTGCTAAATGGAGAAATGAGACATGGAATACTTACATCCCTGGCTCTAAAAGCAAATAACCCTGGTTCTTTCATTGTCACATTGATCTTAATTCATAATACGAATGGCATGGGAATGGTTCTACTGGAGTCACCTTCCAAGTATCCTCCAGCACCTCCCGAGTTCCCACAATGTGGGTTCTTCAATCAAAATCAGAACACATCCATTGGATCACGTTATATGATACTAAGGTATAAAAATATATATATATATTTTATTATTGGACAATATGTTCGAAACAGTATGAATAATATTTAGAGTTAGCCACGGAGTGTGTAAGTAGTTGATGCAAGTAGTTGGTTATATTTTTTCAATTCTATTTTTTTCCCGCAAATCCATTATTATTTATTTTAGTACAAATATACTACAATATTCGGCGGATTATATATACTACGACATACATGTAAAAGTAAAGATTCACTGTTTATTTTCCAGATGTAGTGTTCCTGTTGTTTGTTATGGTTGGTGGGTTTGGGTGCAAGATCCAGACCAACGGATGAAATATTACACAAGTGCCTGGTTTTAAACCCATTTTTAAAACTGTGTATATAGATAATGTACTTGTTTTTCATTATTGAATATTTAGGGAGAGATTTTCACTTAAAAGTTTGTCTACTGTGTAATTATAGTTATACTGTAGAAATTGGAATTGGAACATTAATTTTCACTCAGACATTTTTTTGCTGTATAATTATGGTTTTCACTGTTGAATATTTTGTAGAGATTGAACTTGAACATTTTAACTGAAATATTTGTCTGCTGTATAATTATAATTTTCATTGTTGAATATTTGTAGGATGCGATTAAACTTGACAATTTTCACTCAAAAAATTAAGATATAGTTAGATGGGGCTTTCTAAACTTAGTACATCTTTCAAGCAAAGGCAAAATCATGTTTACCATAAATTTAATTGGTATTAAAAGGGAAGGTGGAGATTACCTGGGTAACTTCTTGTGAAACATTTGCAGGCCCGTAGGAATTAGTTTTAATTTGGCGGGCACAACCAAATATTTTTAGTTTGGGGGAGGGAAGCACTTTCAAGCAAAAATTCCTTGACAAGCAAAAAATAAAGAAATAAATAAAAGGGTCACCAGATGTTATTACTGAGGAGGCGCAAGCATAAAGTAGCTATGTTTTCTGTAGTATACAAAATGTATACATGTAAATAAGCTGTTAAACGCCACATTACACTCAATGTATTTATTACAGAATCCTCGTGCAAATAAAAATTTTCTTATCGTGCGATTCTCTTCAATTCGACTCCCGTAGTTGGACTTAGTTTTATTTGCAGTATTTATTTGAAATTCTTGATTCTTATCACCTATATGATTGTTTCATGAAACACAAAGTGGACCCACGTGACGGGATGTGAATTTAATAATTTTGATGAAAAAGGTATGCACTCGTGATAATGCTTTTTTTTATTTTTGTCCCCCGCTTTCACTGAAAGTGGGGGATATTAATTTGGGTCTGTCTGTCCGTCCGTCTGTATTTCTGTCTGTCTGTAACACTTTTGTTTCCGCACGATATCTTGAGAACCCTTAGAACTTTCGCAATGAATTTTTGCATAGCAACTCCCTATGGCCTAAAAAGAACCCTATTGATTTTGAGGTCAAAAGGTCAAAGTCATAAATTCTATCTGTTTTAACACTTTCGTTTCCGCGCGATATCTCGAGAATTCTTTGAGGTTTTGCAATGAAATTTTACATAACAACTCCCTGTGGCCTAAGGAAGACCCCTATTAATTTTGAGGTCAAAAGGTCAAAGTTCAAGGTCGTAAATTCATACATTCAGTCTGTGTAACACTTTCGTTTCCGGGCGATATCTCAATAAGCTTTTGAGCTTTTGCAATGAAATTTTATACCATAACTACCTAGGGCCTCTCTCGCCCCTCTCAAAGTTTCCCGCCCCGATTTTTTTATTATTATTATTATTATTTATTGTATTAAAAGTCGCCTGGCACTATTTTTAGCACCGGGGCATGTGGAGAGATATTACGTATAATACATGTTGTCGGCGGACTTTATATTCTTATTACATAGATTAGAACTGTTTAGAAAAGGCTAAATTAGACACCATGTACTGTGTAAAATTTTGACAATATCGAACCTGAATATAAACAGTATATGTGACCTACTGTTTGCATTTAATTAGCTCCGAAATGAAGTGCCTCTGTGGTCTAGGGGTCTGATTCTCGCTTAGTATGTGAGAGGTGCCGGGTTCAAATTCCGGTCGATCTTTTTTTTTGTCCTTTTTTTTTGGGGGGGGGGGGGAGGTTTACTAAATGATAGTATTTAGCATGTGAAATGAAAAAGTTATGACGTCTGGCTTGTACATGCAAACTCAGTTGTATAAAATCATTATTACAGTGTGATAAATATTCTATATATAAAGAATCTTCTATACACATATTAAAGAATAAGCAATCAAACATTTATATCCATATTGGCATTTTTTATTTGCTTCTATATACATGTATACGTTTAATAATTCTACAAATCCATGGGGGATTCTGACCCCCCCCCCCCTCCCGAACTGCGCATGCTCTTCTTTTTTCCCTAAGCGGGGGACACAAATTCTCTGAATTAGCTTGTATTTACTTGATATAGTGTATGAATGAAGAAAGGATTTCGACAATACGCCAGAACCCATCAAAATGGTACCCATTTATAAGTATTTCCGGACTCTTGAGGGAGAATATCCCTCCCAGACTCAGCCCCTACCCCTTTTTAGAAACCTGGCGACGGCCCTGAAACAGATGTCCACGAGTAAAGGAGATTTTATAACATATCATGCATTTTCGGTGTCCAACGTAGCACCATCCTTAACTCTGAACCCAAGAACCACGAATTTCACAAATTTAATTGGCAGAGGCCTCAATGCTTATCATGCCTACAGTTTGACTGCAGAACGCTTAGGAGTAAGTGGAGATTTTGGAAGATTGCATTGTCTTTTATGGTTTTGATCCCATCCTTCAGGGAGGCAAAGACCATGAAATTCATAATTTATGTTCCCCTTTACTCATAGATGCTTTATACCAAAATTACTTGAATTGGTTCCTTTGTTCCAAAGAAGAAGCTGAAAATGTTCAAAACTTTATGCACGATGCATAAGATGGACACAGATCAACTGAGTGATTCAGGTGACCAATAAATGGTTCTTGGCATAAACAGTCAAGTTTTGCAGTTTTTCACTACGTAGTGCGGGAAGGTAGGTCAAAACTTTGCTCAAATAATTTTGTTTTAAAATCATATCGAAGGAACTACTTTTTTTGGGGGGGGGGGGGCATGCCTGCCTTGAGGGACACCCAAACAAACCAGAAATAAGCCCTATTTTGACCAAATACATAAAAGAAATAGAGAGACATACAAAATTTATCAAATTAAACTTCAATAAAGAGGAACAGTTTACCTTGGAGACCTTGGAAAGTATGATTTTGCGTAATCTTAAAGAGATCCTTTAGCATTAATCTGTTAATCAATACTATTTATTTTTAATGTTGCCACTCAAATTCCATCCAATATCTTTCAGCATAAAACTTATTGAATTCACCAGAACAATTTATCCACCAACTAGTATGCTGATTCACAAGGCACAATTTCAGATATTGATGAACACCGTCTGTAACAATACTTCACGAATGAGTATCCAAAAGCCATGTAATCTCAATGAAAATATCCAGTTACATACATATATCTATAACACTTTTAACACCATATATATATATTCTGCATTCTCTCTATGAAAGAAAGTAACTTTATTTTAATAACATAACAACTTACATTTTTGCACAAATGTGATATGTTTACCTTAGACTTTTGATCAGCACAATAACATAACCTCTCCACATGTTTTAATATTACACAGACAAATATGCAAAATGTGAGGGTTTTGTCCTCCATAGCACCCCTAGAGTATACAAGAATTCTATTACCAAATGTATGAACCTTACAAAATGGAGAAAACTAAACCATATATATATATATATATATATATATATATATATATATATATATACAGGGTTGTCCCTAAGAATTGAAATGGAAGGGGACATTAAAAAAGTAGACGGGGGTCTGGGGTTCCTCTCCTTATGGAAAATTTAGAAGGAATACTGAAATAACCGGGGAATTACATCATTGTAGGCGGGGAAATTCCCTGGCCCCCGGGGCCTTAGGGACAACCCTGATATATATATATGTATATATATGAAATATATAATTTTAAATATAACAATGTATAATATATACTATATATAGAAGAGACAGTTTCAATGAACTCAACCTTGTGAGTGACAATCACACTGTGAAATAATTTATAATATATGATAATCTATATATTGAATAATTCCAGCATTAATGGAAATACCGGTAATGTGTAGAGTAGTACAATATTACTTATTATAATATACATGTATATCACAGAACAATCTTTGGCAAACTGTGGTCTCATAAACATCATAAAGCTCATGTTAACATGCAACAATTTAAGATTTATTCTACCCTTCAAAAGAAAATGGCTAATGTAAGATATAATAATAATAAAACAAATGAACAAATAATGAACTGTCTTAGAAAGTAAATGGAAGACTTTTAACATGAAATACTTGGCTTACGAAGAATTACAATTATACATCATCAAAATAAATACTTTTGATATATTTACAAGAATTTCTTACACACATGTAACTCTACTTTTTCTTTCAACATAACAATACAGTAAATATGCTTTTAGCATATATTTGTCATATATATTTTCTTTCAACGTAACAATACAATAAAACATGCTTTAACCATAGTGTAATGGACAATTTTTAATTTGTTATTAAAAATTATTTGTTATACAGGTATCTGATAAGTTAATAACACATTTCAAACCTACAAAGGATGAAAACATTTTGCAATAAGTGTAAATTTATTTTAAACATGTTTGCTCCATTTTTTTTAACTGTAGTCCAATTTAATGGCAGGAAGAATATTTGTATAATTGCATGAGTCATTGATCAGAACCAGTAATCAAGAGGGCAATATTTGTATAGTAGAATAAAACCAGTAGTGTTGATTAGAACCAGTAGTTGACAGGATCAGCTTAGAAAACTAGGTCACCTTGATTACAGCCAGTAATTCACAGAACCAGTGTGTATAACTAGGTTGTTGATTAGAACCAGTAGTTGACCACTTTGTATAACTAGGTCGTTGACTAGAACCAGTAATTGACAAAACCAGTTTGTATAACTGGGTTGTTGATTAGAACTAGTAGTTGACAAAACCAGTTTGTATAACTGGGTCGTTGATTAGAACCAGTAGTTGACAGGACCAATCACACTGGTTTGAAATAGGATAAGTAGAATAAAAGCTCCTAGGACAAGAATAGCTATAAGATACTGTGGAAGAATGGGAATATGGAAAAGCTTTGCCTGAAAAAAAAAATCATCATTATTTATAAAAACTTCTGATGTTTACTGGTCCTACTTAATATCACTGTTATAAGTAATTATATAAATAATTTTGTACACATAAATAAATAAGTTTATAAAAAGTTCACTGTATGACATCTTCACTAGCCAAGTGTTTCTGGTCCACTACTCTCCTTAGGTGTAATTGGAGTTTATTGATATCAATTGACCAATTAGCAAATGTATTGCAAAGCTACAGAAAATGACATTTTCAGGTTCTTAACTCTATAGTCTTGGGAATGAAAAACACAAAAACAATGATTTGTAAGATAACATGCCATTCTAACTTTAAATTGATGTATATAATGTAATCTTGAATTTATATTGCAGATATAGACTTGCATTCTAAATAATAAATTAACATTGCTCAATACCTGCTGGTTAAATATTCTTTAAAACTTCAATTTTCAAAAAGCATACTTTATTTCTGTCAATGATGCAAGCTTGTGTTTTCAAGATCTTATGACATAAATAATCCTGACTTTTGATTGCACAATAGGCCAAGGGTTAGAGGAGAGTAGTAAAATCAGAAACACTTGGCTAGCACAGCTGACTGAATGAGAATTCAGATCAATAGCATTTCTGCCTTACCTTCATCCTTGCTTGGCTGACAAATAAAATGAAAGAATCTAGCTCTAATTGTGAGGAACTCTTGTACCCAAACACTCTCATCTCTAAGGCTATTTTCTTCATTCTCATGGACACTGAATTTACTCGAGCTGCCTGTACATTTAATAAAATCAAACATTAAACACCAATTTGTAAATGTGTTTGTATTCAATATCTTTTACAAACTTAATATAAATCATGTGTATTATGAAAAATGATTAAAAAATGGTTAATTATTTTTCTACACATTACCTGATACAATGGACCAACAAGAATAATAAGCCACACCAAAGGGAAACAACTCCTGTAGACCCAGACTTTTATGGAATCATTTTTGTTCAACACAAGAATACAGACACCTGAAATGTTATTATTGTATAAATGCTTATTGTACCTCTCTAGCCATCTTTAGCAATTTGTTAGAATTTTCATGCTATCTTAAATGTAAATGACCTATTTACCGGTATCTACAGATGATATTTGCAGATCTGAATATTTTGCACATTACAGTAAGTGAATATGTCCCTATATATTACCCATCAATGTCATAATATTTGAATACCAAGCGACCCCCCCAAGGACCCTGCAAATCAATCAGTGAATATCACATTAATTTTTTTTTATGATTTAGATTTCTGGAGAGTTCTCAGTCGATGCTTTTTGTGAAGCAAAATATCAGTCTATTTACTGGTAACATGTTTTCTGAATTGAAATTTCTCTTTCGATGCAGCATTCACTTATGTTTATTGTGAAGGACTTATTCAAAGTAATTTTTTTTTCATCACAATTAGGTAAATCAGAATCATATAATTAAAATGCCATGACCTTAATAGCTGACCTTGGCATTTTATCTTGAAAATGGCACATAAAAATGTTGAGGATGACTTTTTAAGATGAATTTAAAATTTTAAGATTTTTAAGATTAAGCATCCTCTGAATGAATGAATGAATAGGGAGATTTTATATGATCTATAATGAATATTCAATTAAATTATTACTAATTTTTGTCAGTTGAGTAAATCTTTAAACTAATTTACCTATGATTGTCAACTCTGCAAAAATGACTGATATTAGAGCAGTCATTCTGGCAACCGGGCCATTTAGTAAACCAACATTTTGTTTGATGAAAAGAATGTCCTGGTAATAAAAACAAAAAACTGTTGAAGCATGTAATCATGAATTATAGAAATTCATACATAAGATTTAAACTTTATGAGAAAGACAAAAAAAATTCTCAATCACAATGTTTTCATGATACTTGTTATCACAGTTACTTCAGACTAGCAAAATAAATTTTCGTCCTTTCACTATACAGGTAAACTTCGGTATCTCGACATCGGATATGTCGACAACCTGGGATATGTCGACATCCTCCCGCGGTCCCGGCAGTATTCACTATATAAATGATTTGCAAAATCTCTGATATGTCGACCTCGGTAATGTCGACAACCCGGGTTATCTCGACGTATATTCATAGTCCCAAGAGCAAAATTTACCCAGTATATGTCGACATCGGCAATTTTCTGCTCTACTGAACCTAACTGTTTGTCAGACAGGGTCGCTCGTCACGCACGGACGACTCCGGGTATCACGACGTCGTCAAAGTTTCACACCTTTCACACCAATGTTTTGACTGCACGCTGCTTAATTAATTTTATAGACTGTGTTTGTAGGTGAATCCCAAGCCCCTTCGGCGTCTTTGAGAAGTTAATTGAGCTTGGGTAATATCATCGCTAAATCTACACGATTCTGCGTAGATGTACAGAATGTTATTTATATCGAAACGTAACATAACTTTTAAATTTGAAAAAGATAACTAAATGACAATGAATAACAAAAACTCACTGAAAAATTCATACTAAGGAATTAAAAAAAAGTTTTAATGATATTTTGTAGTTAAAATGTATTCAACAGGAAACAATCCAATTAACGACACGATAGACAGAATCAGTCGTAATTCGTGCATCCGTAACATCACTACGTTAGTTTAGATACACAAATCTCTTTAAAAAATTAATTTTATTGTACATTCTTTCTGAATGAAATAAGAAAAAAATAATCCGCATTTATTATTTTTTTTTACCGTATATCGGATGTCGACTTTATACGGTTCGAAGTTTATAGAGCGCATTTCGTATCCTGTTCTGACGAAAAGGCAAGTTACACTCGAATGCAGCTCAATGCTGTAACTTGGTGCTGAAACTTTGTGAATTTAGAAAGATTTCGATAAGGAACACGTTTTATAAACAAGATTTTTAAAATAACTTCTTAGATTTTTAATAAAAATAGAGGGAATTCTGAAATATGTTGAGCTACAGTCTATATTAAAGTCATGTACATATAATAAGCTTGTCTGTTTTGCTATGCAATGAAATCTTGGACGTCAAGTCTCAACTCTGATATCTCGACACCTCGGATATCTCGACATTTTCCGATGGTCCCGTCGATGTCGTGATAACGAAGTTTACCTGTAGTTTATATAGGAGGCTTTGGGAAAGAAGACAAAAGTAATCTGACCTTCATTGCTGCCTTGAGTTCTGTGGATTTTTCCTGCAATCTCAGTGCTAATCCTCTTATATAGAAAAGGACCATTTCACAGTGTGTCACATAGTTAGCTATCACTGCTAACGTCACAGAATTCAACATCAGAATCCCCAGCAATTCAAAACTAAACAGCACCCAGTGAATACTCTTCCTAGTAAGAGAAGAAAAAAAAGTTTCTGCAATGTGAATGAATTCAAATGACATTTTTGACAGGAAGTTTGAAAATGAATTCAGTAAAAAAAAATTTGGTACTTCCTTACCCCATTTTTCGAAAGAAGAGAAGTTGAGGGAAGTTAAAGGCATACTCATAGAGGCCTTGCATGACTAGCGTTATTGCCACCCAAATAGCACCCACAGCCATGAGTATCCTGAAAATGAAATTAGGCATGTGAAAAGTGATTCTAAACTAAAACACGAGACTGGTCACCTTATATCATTCATAATACAAACCTAAGTTTTTTGATCATCTTTTGCTGGGAAGCTGATCTACTGTACGAAGGTGTTGCTTGTAAGAAAACCTGGAATAAATGTTAATTCAGGATCAGGAAGGCCCTGATATATTATACATGTATAACAATTCATATTCCATATCAAACACTTAATATAGTCTGCATGTACTTTTTTAATATTGAGTAATCACAGGGGCTAAGATCGTTCTGACCCCAAACTCTTTGTACCCAATAATTTTATGGATTACAGGGTACAAAGAGTTCGTGGTCAAATCGGGCTTAGCCCCAGTGTGAGTAATATACATCTCTTTTCACGGCATCATTGCATGAAAATGCAAACATTTTGAAATGAAATTTTGTACAGTGCAAAATATTTCAAATGGATACCAATATCTTCACCCCATAAATCATGTGTTTAACCTGTAGACATTTAAATTTGATCAAATACAGTGTATCAATGTACTAATGTACAATGCACTTATAAAATATTCTGGGTTTTTTAAATAAAAAATTTCTCCTTTCACTTATTGAAAACAGAAATACAACAGAAATACAACAAATATATACAATGCAAATGCACTTCCCCTTATACAGCACCCTTATGTGGATCACTCTGTGTAAATTACTCACCTTTTCCATAATGGCATATAGCTGCTCGTTCTCCTGAATTCTGAAGTGAATCATTCCCATTATGTACGCCACAAAGTGTAGAATATTTGGAATGACATAGGTAGTAATGATGTGTCTACAAGCCTCGGGGCGCTCTGCAGGGCCAATCTTCCGCATGTTAGTGAGATTCTTTAGTAAAGTGATGGAGAGCGTAACCATACTCAGTTCCCCTGCTGTAGCTGCTGTAGTGTTATCAGCCTCTGTTGATACAGGAGATGTGGTAGTAGGTGTGGTAACAACCTGAATTTAATGTGTATATGCATACATAAATATATATTCATCATTTATTCAATATAAAATATTTAAAAAATAATACACGTATGTTAGTCTATAAGGCCTATGTATTTATCAAAATTAAGTACAACTTCAAAACAAATATTCAGGGTTTTTTCACAAGAATTTAAATTCTGAGATCAATGCGTAAATAGGGTGTTAAATTCTGGGATAAATGAGTACACCATGCATTAAATTCCGAGATCTTTGAGTTAGACTTGTGTCCCCTCACCTGAGTATCCTTGTGAAGATCAAGCTTCCACTGACAAGCAACGATTTCATAAACATAGGTATACAATAACAAACACACAACACATACAGGGTACACAATGTTTAACACAGTCCATCTCATACTGCCAAAGTTCACAGACTCTCTACCGAATCCCCTCCATCCTATCTGTAATGTATAAACATAAACATAGGTTACTACATGTACATGTAATATAATAACAAACACACAACACATACAGGGTACACAATGTTTAACACAGTCCAAGTTCACAGACTCTCTACCGAATCCCCTCCACCCTATCTGTAATGTATAAACAAACATATATAGGTATTTAATAACAAACACACAACACATATAGGGTACACAATGTTTAATACAGTCCAAGTTCATTGACCTCTCTACCAAAACCCCAACCATCCTATCTATAATGTACAAATTATAAATATTTGCATCCATTTGCAAAACAGATTGGGAAAGGGGGTGTTCATTCTTTCAAGGTTCAATACTGTAAAAACACAATTTTTCCTGGGGATAAAATTTCATTGAATTGTCATCTAAAAAGATTTTGTGGACATTAAATTTCATTGTTTTGAAAGTAACTCTATTCAATATATATAGTCATATAAAAATTTCATGTGGGATTTAATTTTGTTGATAATTGTTAACAACGATAAAAATGAAATTTAATCCCCAACGAATATTTCTGCTTTTCCAGTATATAGTATTTAACAGAATCTAGATTCTACATCAGGAAACAACAATAACTAAAGGTTAGTGGATAGGCATTTATCTTTTCACGATTTTTCAGTTTGCAAAAATGAAAATGGTGGGACTGCATTTTGATTAATTATGTGAGTTAATCAAAAACTTAAAATTTCTTCATCTGTCAGTCAGAATATGAATTTTAATTACTACAGCAATTTAGAATTATCTTTTTTTTAATTCTTATCTAAAATACTGTAATTTATTCTTTATCAGGGCTCTGTATATCCTGTCATTATTAATGAGTGAAACTTTACAGAATACCTATATACTTACAAACATTAGAAGTCTCCAATAGGGTCTGAGTACCTGCTGTTTACATCTTTTGAGGGTAGTGGTTGTCAGGTTTAGACTCTCCTCCCCATCCAATATATCAGCTATCTGTAACATATATATAATTATGAAAAATCTTATATATACATGTACCTTACTGTTGCAGTGTTTTCCCTAAGAACTGGCCAAATTGACCGCTTCAATTGATAAAAATGTCGCTTAGAAATCAAAAATCTAAAAAAAAATTGTTGAGATTTTGTTTACCGGTATAAACATCAACCCTTAGCCTGTTACAATTGATCTTTAACCCTTTACTTTGAAATAAAGCGAAAACACTGCTGTTGGTCAAACGGTCTTCTTTACAACAAGCATCTGAACACAGATCCGCACGATATGCAATATTTTACATAAAAATGAATTAAGTTCAACAGCTGATATTTTTCTCATAAATTACAGAGCTTAACTCTAATATACACACAATATTGATCTGAAAAATAAAAAAGTTACTATCTCGAAAACTTTTGGAAGAGCAATATCTGGACAAATGATGTAGTCCCTTTTAGCAGTTGCCCATCCAACCACCTGCCCACCATTTTCACTATTTCAATGACCAGATTTTTCCTTTAGAAAACCCCTTTAAAAACCAAATTGGAGAATATTCAAAAAAATACTACATTAAAATTTCACTTGCACATGCATACTCAGAAATATATTTCTTTTACTGATACAAATTTCCCACATTAAAAACAACTAAAGGATAAATAACACAAACAGACTTTTTTCAGAAGTCAGCAATATATTTCTTATAAATTAATTTTTAAATTGGTAAACCAAATAATGTTTGCCAGGTATAATGGGAGAATTTTATAAGATTCTGACATAAGATCAAAAGTTGTGCAAAATTTTGTATGGAATTATATCGAAAGCGACACAAAGTCACATTTTTAAGCACCAAAGAAAACTTACGATTTCTTTATAATATTTTAGGGATTTATTATTTATGTCATTTCTAATCAAAATCAGTCAAAAATATATATCAATCCATGCATCAAATTTTGTTTGTGTTAAGTAATCCTTAATCTATAACAAAAAGCTCTTTTAATATTAAATGGATACCAGTTACTACTTGTATGCAGTTTACTTATCTGGTCATCAGTATTTGTGTAGTAATCAATAAATAAACAAGTTGAACCCACTTGAAGTTTTCTCAAAATTAAAAACAAGAGGCCCATGTACATGGGCCTTGATGGTCACCTGAGTATCATGAGTTTCTCAGGTTATGTCCACTTTGGACCCACCTGCAACTGGAACTTTGGATTCATGTGACAAAAATTTCATGGTATTTAGGACTCTATCATCATTATCATATTCATACTGTTTGTTCAGGAGTAAAGAATATAAGGACCGTGCAATGTACAATAAATTCCTATGCATGACCAACTTACTTAGCCTCTACCAAGGCCTAGAAAGATGTCAATTTATTGTTAAATCCTTATTATAATCATTCCAACAATTTGCCTACTAGATATGTCAGTAAGTAATAAAGAAGAATTTTAAAGATCAATATATGACCATGTTCGACACTGGAGCCTGAAACAATAATATGGTAATTTGAATTTTAAGAAAAAAAATTGGTAGAGGGCTAATGTTAATTATAATTATGCAAACAGTTTGTTTGATATCTGTGATGAGTAAAAAAAATGTATTGAATTTTCACCCTCTTAGCTCCACCCTAGGGGCCCAGCAGAATGGTGGATCAAGGGGACATGAATTTTACAATTTTGGCTAAAGGGTTAATTAAGTACTCATTCACTTTTGTATAGGATTAGCATGATATTGAAGGAATCTCTGTTCTTAAATGATGACGAAATTCTGAGAATCACAAAGACATTGCAACATTTAATCTATATGAATCCATGCTTTATGCTAAGATGATATGATGATCATGCTGGATACATATACAAGGATATTTCAATCATAGTTTGGGGCAACTTTATCTACCCTGCTGATGATGTTGTTAGATGATGAATACAATGATGATGATGATGATATTGTGTACCATTATTACACAGATATTCCTAATCGTCCACATAGGGATGTTGATTACATAATTATGTATAATGAAGATGATGATAATGAACAAAGAAGATTCATAAGTCACTCAGACAAACAGAAAGTACAAAACTTTCATTTATCCCAATCATATTACATTGGCAAAATGATGATAATGTTGATGATGATGATGACAGAGACACACAACATACAATTGTACAAACTGCAGAGATTAGTAGTTTCATCCGGCAATGATGAAGGTTATTAATTACACTTAATTATCACACCAGCAGAGAGACAGAACAATAGCTAACATCCACACTGAAATGATGCTAATGTTGTTAGATGATGATGAGTCTTGTCACACATCACACAGACAGACAGACAAGTGCACTGCTTCATCTATCCTGATAATGTGCTTTTGTCAGATATTGATGATCATAGAAGATGATGGATATAGATATATACAAATAATACAGTACTTATATCTACCCTTATGATGCACAGACAGACATACAGACAATACAGTACTTATATCTACCCTTATGATGCACAGACATACAGTACTTAGATGCACAGACAGACAATACAGTACTTAGATGCACAGACAGACATACAGTACTTATTTCTACCCTCAAGATGCACAGACAGATATACAGTACTTATTTCTACCCTCAAGATGCACAGACAGACATACAGTACTTATTTCTACCCTCAAGATGCACAGACAGACATACAGACAATACAGTACTTACATCCACTCTAACAGTACTACTATTATTAGATCCTCCCGACCTATTGCTGGCGTGCTGGAGCTCATTATCCCGCTGTGCAAGGGCACTATCACACATTACAATGTACGAGTTGTGGGAGTTATTTTCTGTTTTGGGTTTCCTGATATCATCATCTTCTATGAGTTCCTCCTGAAAAGGCATAGTCACTGAATTAAACAGTTACATACCAATAGAAAATAACTATAACATAAAAGGATCAAATGAACAAGCAAGCATAAACAATAAGACTTATACAAGTCAGTGACCAATAAGTACTTATAAGTACTTCCACGCTGACTCATTCAATACTTCATCTTACAACATTTTTAAATGTAATAATGACTTTATCTTTTTTCATCGGATGTATATATGTTTTCATAAGCATTCAACTATGCAAAGTATGGCTTTATAGTTTTAAAATCAATCGTTTCTAGGAAGATATATTAAACAAAATTATTCAAAAAGTTGAATTATTTTTATATATATATACATTCTTTAGTGAGTGTTTCTTCAAGATTAATTTATACCCCAGGTATTCATAAATTGACAAGTAGCATATTTTTTATGTACTGTAACATATGATAACTTGAGAATTTATATATTTTTTCTATATGCTTTTAAACTTCATATGAACTAATTCATGAAGAAACCAACTTTGAAGTATGTCCATTTTTCAGGGTTGTCCCTAAGACCAGGGGGCCGGGGAATTTCCTCGCCTATGATGATGTTATTCCCCGGCTACTCTGGTATTCATCCTCAACCTCTTGTTAGGGGGAGGAATCCCAGATCCCCCTTCTACTTTTTTAATGTCCCCCAAGTCCTATTTAAATTTTTAGGGAGAACCCTGATGTTTGCAGAAACTTTTTGTCCTTGAAACTTAGAAATCTCACCTGCAAATTGGAGTATCCCATGGATAGCATTGTACAATAGAAACAACTCAATGAAAAAATTTAGACAAGAGTCACAAATTCAATTAAAATCTCCATATAAATTTATCAGTGATCATAAGATTTGTAGAAGCAGATTCCAAGTTCCAGGGCTGGTTATAACCAACTACTTTTAATCATCTGCACTTTATGTAAGCAGTATCAATTTGTGTGTTATCTTTGTAATCAGGAGTAGAGAAATGAAATATGGGGTGCGTGATACCCGTGTATATGTGACCATGTAATTATGACCCGAGGATTATTGCCCCCAAGGTCATCCATCTTTATCTTGTTTGTTACAAAGTCAATGCTCTGATGAGAGAGAAAATGAGGTACACCGTATTTGATCTTTTGTCTATGGGCTATGTATAATAAATGTCAGTAACCCCATGAGTAAACTCTTTTGCATATATTTATGAATTATCAAAGTATACTATTCTTTTTAAATGAGAGAGTGTGATCTAATAATTATAAATGAGACAACCTATGTAAACTTCTGGTTATCAGTAGACGGTATAGAGATGGATATTGGACCCAGTCTCTCAATGTCCTGATTAAACAAGGTCTTGCATGTGTATAGAATGAATTTGTTATCCCCGTCTTTAAATCTATAAAAAGTTTAAAGAAAAACCTCAATTTTGACTCAGATTGGCATTCAGATTTACAAGATTTTAAAATTGATAGAACTGCATGTTGTAAGTCAATTTACAGGTACAGGATGTCAATTTAACAGTTTCTGTTCTCTTTGGTACAGGCATGCAACATTAATTTCTGATCACTAGTAATGCTTACCACAGGTAAATTAGATTTTCAAAGATGTGTAATAAATTCTCAGTATATGACTATTTTCTTTGCCCTTCCCAGGGAACTAGACCCTTGAAGCAATTGGGTTGTATATTTCAAAATTTAGATTTAAAAAATTTTGCTCATTTCAATTTTGTAAACAGTTTGCCTGCTATTGTCAGTACTGATCAAATAACCAGAAATAAAGATTTTAAGGGGGCCGACTGGGGTTTTCATTGCGCAATACTTCGCGCAGCATAGTAAAATAAAGCGTATTTACTCTTTTAAAGCAACTATTTTTACATAATTTATAAAAATTAACAAATTTAGGAAATATCAGGTTAAATATTCTAATTACATTTTTAAATAACTGATTATTTAAACGATTTTTTAAATGATGGGTAGATAGACGTCGTATAATAGTGTGTTTTTGACGTTATGAATAACCGAAGTTCTTTAAGAGGGGTCATTAATTATGTCATAAAATAAAAAGTATAATTTAGATACTCTTGAAATTTTAAACATAGGAAATTGAGAATCTCACAATCATATTTATTGTTTTTTATGTAAATCTGTGGTATCTGTCATGTTTTGTAATACTCCATAAAAACAGGAAAATATCATGAATTTTGACATTTTGAGATGCCCCCTCTGGAAACCAGACGGTAGAATTATGTGTTTCTTGCATAAAATGTACAATATAGTATTGTTCATCAAATAGTTTAATTTGAGCAAAAAGTCTATAGTAGCATTTGTATAATTTGCTCCAAAGTGCGAAAAAATGGTATTTTCCTAAATAATCCTATAGTAAATGTACCTGTATTTTGAGATGGTCCTTAAAAAAAAACCAGATGGTAGATTTTCACTAAACTTGGCATGTATACTGAAGTCAATGTAAGGTACATATGGTATAAAATTAAAGAGTTTCCCTATAGTAGTTTTCACACAATAAAACCCCAGTCGGCTCCCTTAAGAGGTAAAGATGAGACTTTAACATACAAAATGTATCTACTTAGTCAATTCAGTAGTAAAAAGTTTCATAATTTTGGTTAGGATCTACTGCTCTTTAATTTAAGGCATTCAAACAGTTTGCTTGCTATTAAAATGTCCAGGGGTACATGTGTAAAATTAAAGATTTTTTAAAATCACATCTTTAGAAGGGGTGACATACATATATGAAACAATTAAGTTCTTCAGGCCCCAATTATGGAAACTATGAAATTCACATTTACCGGTACTGTAGATCCTTAATTTTCATGACACCTTGTTTTTGTGAGATTGTTGTTTGGTATTTAAAAGCAAAACAAAATTATCATGAATTTTGGTTATTGCTCTATATAATCTTTAATAATAGAATTACACGCGAGAATGAAATTTTTGCGACTAGACAGTCTCAGATAATTATGCAAAAATGAAGTTCTCGTGAATAAAAAGTGATTTTCAGTAGTATATTGTTCTCCTTCATCTACAAATGTTGTAAACTTAATTTTTCAGGAGCTGAAATTAAATAAGAATGATGCCATAAATATCTGATCATGGACTGAAATAGATCGTAAAGATTTTTAGTGACCTAATTTACTTAATTCAATTCAGTTTATTGACATCACCATGTTGACATACAGTCAAAATAAGACAGATAACAGAGAAAAAAAAAAAGAGAAGAATATTATAACATAATTAGATAACAGAGAAAAAAAAAAGAGAAGAATATTATAACATAATTAGATAACAGAGAAAAAAAAAAGAGAAGAATATTATAAATAATTACATGCAATTCAATTTTACATAGTTCCTTATAGACCTTGGGTTTGTTTCCTCTGCATAAAGCATTTATCTAAGTATATACATATTAAACGTTTTGCAGTATTATAATCACACGGGTTAACAATTTCTTTAATGGGATCAGTACCACAGTATAATTTATCATCAAAAATATCACAATATTGAAATCGAAGATTGTCATACACAGGACAGTAAAGTACAAAATGTTTTTCATTTTCAACCAATAATTTACAAGCATAGCATAAACGTTTTTCCTTAGGGATTATTGGTTTATAGTATCTACCTGTTTCAATGAATAGTGAATGTGCACTGATTCTTAATTTTGTTAGCTGTGATCTTTCATGCTTTTTTAAAGGAAACTTTAAGTAATCCTGCAATTTATAATCAGTGCAGTTTAAGATTTTACTATAAAAATAAAGTTTTCCAGAGTTAGAAGATGAGATTTTGCTCAATTGTTCTAAGGTCATATCAACAAAAGTTTTATTTAACTTAAACCTCAAATCCTTATGGGAAATAAATTTACTTAAACTAGATGGTCAGTCATTCATAAAATATGACAAGAAGTGTTCAAATACCCATGCATATTTGAACCAGTTAGGCAATTTAACATGGGATCCATGAGATACATCTAGAGTAAAATAATAAGACATAATCTAAATATAGCTATAACACTTTGCATATAATTATATATACATGTACTATTAGTTACATAGTTTTGTAGTGACAGGGTACGGGATGATACCTGGTTAGTAAATTTCATACCTGGCGAGGCGAAGCCGAGCCAGGTATGAAATTTACTAACCAGGTATCATCCCTTACCCTGTCACTACAAAACTATGTAACGAATTTACCCCACCGATGAAATGTTTGTGGTCCGTGGTTTGTAAAATTGTTTTTCTCCGCTATATGTTTCATCACTCATACAATGCCTATTATGACGTCACGTTGTGTTACGTAGTGTTGTTTTGCGAGTGTTTCATAACGTACTGACAGTTTCGAAGACTTTAAGTAAAGTGAGAAATAGGTTCCATCTCGTTACTTACGTTGATTAACTTTTTACTTATCAACAGACACCCGCAAACCCCATGAACTCGAGTTGTTCGAAGTGTTACAAAAGAACGATAACTCCGCATGAACCATGTATTGATTTTCAAGCGACTAGGTATAAGTAATACACCCCCTTCATGTGACAGGCTTCAACCAATCGGAAGCCAGGATTTCATTGAAAAATCATCAGAGGTGGGGTAAATACATGTACTTCAAAAGTATACGAAACATTCAGCTAAGTTGAATGAATTCTGGCAATAATTTGGCACATGTATTTGATTAAAATAAAAAACAAAACAAAAAAAAAACAAAAACAAAAAAAACACCCAATATATTTCTAAATACAATATAGCTGCACTTTGCTTCCACATAATACATTTACCTCTAAAGTGTATGAAACAATGAATTATGACATTAATGCCAGGCACGGATCCAGGAATTTTTTCCAGGGGGTGGGGGGGGGGGGGGGGTCCACCCCAGTCCAAAAAAATTTCCAACCCAAAAAATTTCTTCACAAGCAAAAAAAACAAAAACAAAAAAAAAACAAAAACAAAAAAAAAAAGGAAAATGCATTTTCCACACGTGAAAAACACCTATTTCTATGTGGTTATGTTGGGGTGGCCTAAAGTCCTTTTCTATTTGCTTCAGTATATACCTTTAATAACTCTGCAAATTCGGGGGGGGGGGGGGGCAGATCCGTGCATGAATGCTCCGAGGTAATGCAGGACAAAAATATTATTTTTTCATTATAAATGTATCAAATTTTTAATTCATAAACTGAAATGGTCATAACATTTAATGAATAAAATTTAATTATGTACCTTTTATAGTATCCTATCAGAGTTTTTATATGTATTATTCTTTTAATATCGATAATTTTTAATATTGTATATATTACATGTATAATAGTGGATTAATCAGAGTTCTCTATAATTATGTATAATACTGAATAATATATCAATACAGTTATTTCATGTAAAATGTACTTGACAAAATAATTCTATGTCTTTAAAAAACTCTAAGCATGCTAAGCGATCTTGACAAAACTGAAAAAGCTGTCTGCTTCTCATCCAAACCACTCCCACAGCTCTCCCGTAAATAACTATCTTTTGCTTTAAAATTCCAAATGCAACTTGAGTTGTATAGAACATCATTCTTAATTATTTGCAATTGCAAACACTCTGTGTCATTTAAAACCCATTCTTTAATCAGTGGCAAGCACTTTCAAACACAAATCTCACCAATTTTTCGTAGTCCATTTCCCGCAATTTATTTAGAGTGATTCCCCTTAGTCAATTTCGACGAAAATGGCCGCTAGGTTATTGAAACAGGATTTCATTGGATGAAATAAAAATCTTCAGCCAATCAGCTACTGCCATTGGTGTACAAAATTTAAAAACAACTTGGTGGTCACGCTGATGGAGTTGTTTATGTTCTAAGAATGGAAATTGCTGTCTAAACAATTTCACCAAGAATAAAACCGCGTGGTTGCTACTTGGTGATAAGAATATTATAGAGGAGCTTACCACACCATTGTTGGTTTTAGATACATTTTATGCACAGAAGGGGAACAATGAATACTAAAAAATCAAAGGGAACTTCCTTGCTTGATGTCAGAAAATCAAAATCGGGCACAAGCACATTGTCACAAGTAAGTAAATTTGATTTGTGGTTTAGGCCTAAGTGAAATTATGATTGCTTTCTCATAGTTATTTAGCTTTGTTATACATTTTTCGAATGTTTTGCAGTTTGCCAGTCATAACAATATTTAACAGACGTTCTGATTAATGCAGTACAGTAGTAGACAAGATTATTAAATCCTTTAGAATACTATGAACTGATCCTGTACTTTTTCCGTTTTATCAGATCCACAAAGATGCCCAAAAACCATTTTTGAATGTCCTCGGCAATCTGAATGGAAACAAGCGACAAGGAGATAATATGATGGACCAAAAACAGAAGAGAAGAGCAGCATTTGGAGATATTACAAATGTAATTATAATAATTAACTATAATCTAAAATAAAATTAAGTATTAAAATGAAATTCAATAACATTTCATATTGTTTATAAATTATATTTAAAAAACATATAAATTACTGAAAAATTAAAGAGCACGTTTGAAATTAATGCAATTGTGTAAAGTTACTGTTGTTGAAAGTATATATTCCTAATATGATGAAAATATTGCCTTTTAAGAAATGGTAAGGCTGGTCGAGATGCTTTTAAGTGTTGTGGTACAGAAATAAATATCACTTGTGGTTCAAATAAACATAATTAAGCTTTGTTTTGTTAATTCTGTTTATGTTTATTAATTATATTCACTTTTTTGTGATAGGCTATAAATGAAAACAACATCCAAAAGAAAGACATCCTCAAGAAAACAAAACCCCCAACAGGAGTTGGTGGAAAAGCTACAAAGAAGAAGTCAGAGAAAAAAAGAACAGTAAAAACAGAGAACACAGATCCTACACAGGAAGACAGTGTGCCGCTCTCTCAGGGATCTGTAGTGTCCAGTTCTCAGGACAGGTAAACTCAGATTATGTGCCTCTGACTATTACAATGTATCAGTTGATGGTAAACTTTTGATAATGAAGGGAAAAAAAATGAAATGTAGAAGTAACAGAATTATTATTTTGATTATGTTTCAGTGTGTCAAGTAATAGTTCATCCAAAGGCAGTCTGACAGATCTGAGTCAGATCAGCACTGTGTCGGAGGAAGATGAGAGAGAAATTGTCCCAGAGGTAACATTCAATTCCAAGACCAATTATCAGTGGAATAACACACAGACATGAACATAAGAAAAATGAAAATTGCTTTCATCTAACATCCAGTAATTTGTAATGATTTCCAAGATTTTCAATGTGATACACATTTTTCCATATTTGCATTCTAGAGTTTCAATTCTGTAATAGGGTGTTAAAAATAATGGTGAGAAAAATTGTTCTTTTATATAGTAAAATATTATATATGCCATCTAAATTTCAGTCAGTGGATGATGTGGATACAGAAAACTTGCAAGACACTGCACAGTGTGCCTTGTATGCCCCATTCATCTTTAGATATTACAAAGAAAGAGAGGTAAAGTATACTATATAAATGTAAAAAGCTTGATCAATCCATTAAATACTATGTTAAGCCTAAAAATTTAATAAGAGGCTAGTTTTTTCAAAAATAAATGTGGAAGGAAGGCTTTTTTTCCCCCTTTTTTTACCTAATAAAAAACAGATGCAGAATTTTTTTTTTTTTTAAGATTTTAAGAACTAGAAATTTTTAATCAATAGTGCTTCAGCATTGAGTATAGAAATCAAGATCATTTATTTCTTGCTTTTCTAAAATGCAGTGAGGATTCCAGATTTTTTTTTTTTTTTTTTTTTTTTTTTTTTTTTTTTTTTGGCACCGTATGAGCACATGAGAGAAATTTTATTTTATTCATTTGAGAATAAAAATGGGTATTGCACATTGTTAAATGAGATACAGGTGGACCTGAGAACTAAATACAGTTGAACTTTGGTATTTCGAACACAGATATATCTCAAATATCATGGATATGTCGAAGTGATTGGGAAGTCCTAAACATATTTTTTAAGTATTTTACTCTCGATATCTCAAACCCTCAGATATCTCTTTTTTTTTCTCGGTCCCATCGAGTTCGAGATAACGGTTTGACTGTATTTGATTTTTTTTTTGTTACAGCTGAAGTTCATGGTTCCTATGTATATGGACACTCAGCCAACATTGACCACAAACATGCGAGCAATCCTGGTAGACTGGCTTGTGGAAGTGCAAGAGAACTTTGAACTAAACCATGAAACTCTGTACCTAGCTGTCAAACTAGTGGATACCTACCTCTCTGTTCGACAGGTGCCCAAAGAGAATCTACAGCTTGTAGGAGCTGTCTCCCTTTTTGTAGCTTGTAAATTTGATGTAAGTTGAAAATTTACTTATTATGAAAGAAAAAAAAATCTTTTGTGGTAAATTCTTGTATTCATTGTAAATTTTGATCTTTTACTTTAATACTTCAAATGCAACTTGTTATACAGAGGTTATTCAATGTTTTGTAGTTGGGTATGGAATTTATTTCTTGAGTGGGTCAGATTTATTCATATTTTCATGAGTGTGAAGCACAAGAAAAATTAATTAAAAAAAAAAATACTGTCCCACAAGTGAAATAAATTCTATCCAACAACAAAACATATAAATTTCTGTTTATTGCCCCCCACTTTCGCGAAAGTGAGGGGACATTAAATCCCATTCGTATGTCAGTCTGTCACAGATACTTAAACCTTGATCATAACTTTTAAATGACTAAAGATAGGGCTTTCATATTTATATTAGAGAGGTTGAGATTTCATACTTGTACGTGTACGGATACGTCTAATAGGGGAATTCCCTAAATTTCTTGCGTATTACGTCATCAGTTTTGGAGTTGATAAGTATTCTACACGTTCCTACAACTTGTAAAAAGGCATCTACACGTAGGTATAAACTTGCAGCTTTTTCAATAAAAACTAGTCAATTTATGAAACTGTTATTGTTGTTAATTATTTAGGATGTTAAGTTTCATGAACACTTATTTTAACCATGTTTTGTTCACTAACTAAAGTCAAACTAATGTCACAAAACTACTTTATAGTTAAAACAGAGACAACAATTACAGTCTACACGTTCATGTTACACGTCATTAAAATCTCAACAGACAAATTACAATAAACGTGTATGTCAAAGTGTAACAATCACTATTATACTTGTACATATTATTTGTATTTCCCGCGTTTTGTCCCTATGCCCCATCTACCCATAAGCCCTTGCAAAATAGCTTGGCCGACCAGAACAATTGAGGCCTGGTCATTCCCGGCAGAGAAGCGTAGCTGCAGACACGTTTCTACAATTGAATCAGCTAGTGTACATGCAAATAGCTGCCATACAATCAGTATCTTGACTTTGGCACGGAGACAGGTATGTGCGTCAAGAACACTGGTTTGACATGTGCTAGATACATGCACTAAGCTGAGGGGATCGTCGAGACACAGCGAAAGGTTCCAGGACTAAGACCCGGAAGGATGCTGTGTGTGGGTCAAGATTCAGTGATGGTGGACAGATACAGATAAGTCAATCCACGTAACATTGTGTAGCTCGATATAGGAACACTGACGTATTGGCAAACCTGACATGGTTTCGTTCATACGATGATGCTGATGATGGTGATGATGACAATGATAATCATTGATAAGGAGATGACGACTCCAGTGGGATATGTTTGGCAATGATACTTTGAGTGAAATCTATACCCGGGGTTAATTGGTTAATTGTCTGATTATTGGTTACCAATTGCTATTTTTTTTTATTTTTATTTTTTTTGGTTTAATAGTGTGGAAGAGTGTGTGGATCAGAGTGTGGTTGTCTGTTTGAAATCTTCTTTATTATTATTATTATTCTTTTTTTTTGTAAATAAATTTATTAAAACTTAGTTGAATTTGTGTGATTTTTGGAGATAGCCAGCTTGACCACGTGACACAAAGTTTGTGCACATGTACGCGTACAAGTTTAAAATCTCAACCTCTCTAATACCTGACTGTGACAAGACCTTTTATTTCATGTGTGGGACAGGATTTTTTTGTATGTTTCATGAGTGCGAAGCATGAGTGAAAATAAAAAAAAAATCCTGTCTCACGAGTGAAATAAATTCCATATCCAACTAAAAAAATTTGAATTTTCTTTTAATTACATTTTCTTTGATTTTTCCCTTTGCCGCTGTCTTTTTATAATACAGTGTCATAGAGTGTGATGTCATAGTTGGGCAGTTGAGATGTAATAGCTTAACAATTGTGAGATTGAAAACCTTGTAAACCTGGATTTCAAGAATATATTTGGAGAAACCTTGGCATTTTTGTCTTTGTCTGGATGGTTTATTGGTTTATTAATCTCTTAATCTTATTACAGGTCATGGAGTATTTTTTAGAATATTCTTCATGAAAGGAAGGAAAATGATGAAATCAAGAGTTTTGTTGCACTTCTGATATTCTTTCACACTGTGACAGAATATCATTTTGATATTCTTTCCACTCTGACCAGTTGAGAGAATATCACTTTTATTCAATGAATAAAAAATTACAGTACATGTATTTCACTGTTGAAAATGTAATTTAAAAAATTATTTTGTAGGAGAGGTGTCCACCCCTGATTGAGGATTTCCTGTACATCTGTGATGACGCCTACAGACGAACAGAGTTTCTGGAAATGGAGAGGTCAATTCTGAAGACAGTAGGATTTGACATTGGAATGCCCCTGTCCTATCGCTTCCTCAGACGATATGCTAAGGTACGTACAGTCTCAGGGCTCTCACACAACTTTTTGGGACTGGGGTGAGGGTCATTCCAATTGGGAACTGTCATTTTGGGGAAAATTGAGACAACCAGCATTCATGAAAGAAAAAAATTGTCAACTTTTGATTTTCTACTATTTTGTTATCAATTTAATTCTAGTTTTTAATAAACATAGCAAACGTGGGTGGGCTATTATACATCCAATGTTGAACTGCACTAGTGCAGTGTTTTGTCTTTCTGAGTCGTTGCTCACATCCTGCCAAATTTCCTCAATGACATTGTGGCTTTAAGATTCAGAGTGCTAGGAGCAGCTGACTTAGTCAACTGTTGTTTAAATAATATGTCTATTTTTTTCACTTTGAAGATGTTTTCTTGTCAATTTTCTTTACGTAATACATGTACTTTATATTTTTGGAAAACTTTAACAATAATCTGATTCCTTATCAAAATTCAAACCAGCGGCGGAACTAATTACTGTTAATACAGTCTTTTGCAGAACTAGTTTGTTTTACTTCCTCTGTAAGTGTTTGTATTTTGGCAATTGAGTCTAATCAATTATGTTTTTTTTTTTTAATGTTTTGCTAAAGAAAATTGGTAAAATTGCACTTTTCTATTGGGAAAAAAGGTTCTTTTTTGCAATGGAATGGGGCAATTGAATGGCTCCATTTATAGAGAATCAAGAGCCCTGAATCTTAAGATTATTTTACTGTATGTAAAATTTTTGCACTTTAGACAAAATAGTTAGGCTCAGATATCATACAGTATATACACATTGCTTCTTTGCTGTAAAATCTCTCTTTAATTCACAAAGGAAAGCTGAAAATTGATATTATTTTAAAACTTTCTGGAAATGTTATTTAATTAAAAATACAATGTAATGAAATAGTGAAGTTGAGAACAAACATGTTATTAAAGTGCTTGATACTTGTGCAGTGTGCCAGAGCAAGCATGGAGACGCTAACAATGGCCAGGTTTATTTTGGAGATGTCATTAATGGAGTATGAAAATATCAAATACAGAGAATCCAAGATGGCTTGTGCATGTCTTCTGCTGGCAATGAAAATGAAGTGTGCTGGAGAATGGGTAGGTGAAGGAGTGCTAGAAATATATAGAGGATATTTAATGTTTTGTAGTTGGATATGGAATTTATTTCATGAGTGGGACAGGATTTTTTTTTATATTTTCATGAGTGCGAAGCACAGCTGAAAATATTTTTATAAAATCCTGTCTCATGAGTGAAATAAATTCTATATCCAACAACAAAATTTTGAATTTTCTGTTTATTACATTTTCTTTGATTTTTCCTTTTGCCTCTCTTTTTGTAAGACAGTGTCATAGGCTGTGATGTCATAGTTGAGCAGTTGAGACAACATAGCTTAGCAATTGTGAGATTGAAAACATTGTAACATGGATTTTAGCAACATATTTGGGAAGAAATTGGCATTTTTAGTCTCTTTCAAGACAGTTTAGTTACTATGTAATATGACAGGCCAGAAATTATTTTTTACTTACTTTGATATCCTTTCACACTGTGAGAAATTCTGAGAATCTCACTTTTATTTAATAAATAAATCAGTATTTCACTGTTGAAAATGTAATAGTTATAATTAATTGTACAAGTATATGATTGTTTAAGTTCAACACTGCAAACCAATAATTTGAACATGTAGTTTGTACTTGTATGCAAAAAAGATGTAAAATGATTATTATTCGTATTTACTTTGCTTTTCTTGATTTAGACTGCATTAAAAATATACAACATGTAAAAGGAGAAGAAAAAGAAAACAGTTATTCCTCATTTTTACATTTTTACCTGATCCTTGATTCAATTTAAAAAAAAAAGATTTAGGCTAAACAGAAATCTAAGTCTGCACTCATTGTATCACTAAAGCCATACACAGCGAGAAGGCTGTTCTATCACATGATGAGCAAATGGCTTTATGAGGATATAAAAGCTATTTCCTTATTTGTAGTTTTATATTGCACAAAGACATTTGAACATGTAAATATTTAAGGAATGGTTTTAAGTTGTGTGTGAGTTATGAAATTTCTTTACAGCTTGTCATGAACTTCAATACATGATACATGTTTATGTTACAGTCCTCAACTTTGGAATACTATACAGGATATACAGCAGAGGACCTTACTTGTCTTGTCAAAGATCTCAATGCCATGATTGCCTCCCCTCCTAAAATGTTAACTACCATAAAGTCCAAGTACTCACACAGGTGAGTTCTTATCTGTTGTCTGGTATTTACTATTTATATATACCCAGTGTTCCAGCTAGGATCTGAAAATGGAGGGGTGCAAGAGAAGGGCACTTTTTGCGTCTTAACGTTGTCGCGAGCTTTTGTTACATAGTCGTATCTCATTACTTGATTAATGATGCAACATTTTATCAATACAAACCTGTTGTCACCCCTGCCACAAAATGAGTATTGGTTCTAAGTTATGGGATACACAGAGGTCACAGCAAGGTCAGAAAATATGTCAATTTCCGAATTTTCTCATATTTATGCAAATTTTCATCAATTTTAAAGCACATTTTGTTTCAGAAAAAATAGAGCACAAGCTTGCATATCTACGAAATTTATATATTTCATACACTAGTATCAGATGTATCTTATATATAAAAATCTCAGATAGGCAAGCTTGTGCTCTATGTTTTCCGAAGTGAAAAGTATTTTAAATTTGATGAATTTCCACCAGAATTGAGGAAATTCCGGAAAATATCCTGCTTCTGCGCCCTCTTGTGGCCTCTGTGTAAGCTTTGAATCAAAATTAGTGCTGGTTTTAAAACAAGCATCATTTTAAGTTCTTAACTACAAACTATCACAATTTTAACTGTGTTCTAATTTTTACATCAAATAAGGAGCCCGATTCGGCCATTACCATACCTTGTCCTTTTATGTAATATCTAAAAAACACTTATGCATGTTTTTATTTGTAGGGTGTTTTATGAAGTAGCCAAGGTGCCTGCTCTATCAGAGGAACAGCTGAATTCATGAGATATCACCAAACACCAGGGAACTACACTTGCTGTGTATCAGTGTCTTAGTTCTTGTCCTGTGATATTGTTAAACAGCCATTGTTTATGACAGGCATGTGTGCTTTTAATCTAAGTCCTTCTGTGTACATTAGCACCAAAGTGAGAGAATCCAACATCTGAACAGAAGGACTCCTGTAATGCACATTTTTAATGACACAGGATGTTTACTTTTAATCCCTAGTTAGACCTTCCTCTTCTTTCTATCCCCCTTTCCCTGTTGTATATATAGAATAACTTCCATCTCTTTTACAAAATCTTACTATTTATTCAAACACATTTTGCAAAATGTTTTTTGGTTGTGTACATTAGTATGAAAGAGCTTTAATTCACAAGATTTGTAATTTTTTGATGACTTCTGGAAGGGGGTGATAATGCTGTATATTGTCTCTAAAAAACTAGGTGTTGTTTTATTTGAAGTCGTTTGTTTTATATTTTAATACACTTTAAGACTAAAACATAAGATTTAATTATTTTATTAATATTTTTTATTATTATTTTTAGCTCTACTGGTCTTTCACCAGAGGAGCTTTCACCACATGCATTCATTAAGTGTGTTTCTGTAATGCTTCACCTCCGTAATCCAGATTTTGTCCGATTTTAGTAAGTCTTGATACACAAGTCAACTACCTTAGGATATAGACTGTATAATTCTTATAATATTTTTTTTCTTATTTTAAATGATCCATGTTGCTGGTTACTAGAAAAAAATAATCTCTAGATTTCTTTTCAAACTGGTTCCTCATCTTTTCCTGTATATTTTGGTTTTTGATTTACATAAAATTTGGTACAAATTAACAAACCTCGAGATAATATCTTGATAATTCTGTAATTGTTAAACTGAAAGTGAACAGATGTTACACGTCCATGAGTATAAACTGCAAGTGAAGTGTAACTAACATCATTACAGGTCAAGTGTAACTTTACACTGTTTACAAATTCAAACCAGTAGAGCTGCAATCTCATCCCAGAATTTTGGTTTATTTTGTTAATACCATTTTACATGTACATGTATATCCAATTCAATCATGTAAATAAAGATTCAGAGAGTAATTTAAAATTATGTTATAAAAAGGATGTTTTACACCTAGTAAATTTGTGTTTGGTTTTAATTTGTATTTATATATTTTAGACCTACAATAATATGTTATTTCATTGGACGATGGTTAGAAAAGTAACTTCACATAGTCATTACAGGGCATTTTTGCAATCATGCTAAAAATAAAATCAGGTTTAAATAAATATGCTTTCTTTTTTTTTTAATGGTGGTCGCTATTGTTTACGCTTTCTACGTAGATATATCAGCCTCATTTTTAATTAGTTAATTAAATATTTGATATTTTTACCATGGTTTACCTAACAATACAAAGTTTTGCTAGTATCTTTGTTTTTTTTTATATATATACATTTATATTGTTTCAATAAAGTGTTTCAAGGATTGAATTTTCTTTGTTATACTGAGACAAAATTAATTCCACATTTTATATCTGTTTATTCCTCATGAATTACTCTCAGTCATTTATACAGGCATATTTGAGCTTGTTAACATTCAACAAAAATATATATCTGTTTGAAAAGTCTTTACTTCAAACTCTAATGTACTTTCTAATACTTTCACATAACCATAAAGTAACTATTAACTTATAATCAATCTTAGGGTATATGTCAACAGGATATACTGTACACAGGGAAATTTTCGACTCCGTTTTATTTTCGCCCTACCCACAGGTGGGCGAATTTAAAACGGGGCGAATTCAAAGAACATGGTATAATTTCTTACACAAAACTGTAACTGGCCGAATTTAAAACGGGGCGAAATTGCTTGCAAGTGTGAATGGGCGAAAATAACACGGGGCAAAAATAACCCGGTATACAGTAATAGCAATGTGGAAATGCAGTGATGAACATGTATGTCAGTTATTTATTTAGAAGAAATTCCACTGTAAGAAGTCTTGGACTTTGTCTGGATCAGTCCATGAGACACTTTTTCTGTGACACGATAACGAGTTTCAATGAAATGTTTTCAAATTTTGTACCTAAGTACTCAACCATAAGAGCAAAACACCGATAGATTTTGTGGTCATATAACTTTTTCTCTGTCACAAAATGTTTTCCATGACATATAAGTTATGCTATAACATGTGCACTTGCATTGCTTAAATGACCAATATAAAACTTGATATAGCCACAACTTTTATACTTTTGATGAAATGCTTTGATACTCAGTAAATTAAGATACCGGGGTATATCAACAATTCCATAAAAATGTGTCGTTTTCTACGTAATTCTGTTACAGCCGCATAGTACAAGACAAAGAAACTTTAAATCAATTATGATGTCATTATGGATCTAGCATCAAAAAGACAGTCTAAACATATTTACTAGATTTCTCCGAGAACTAGTATTCAATTTGATTAAATTACAATAAGCCATAAATCCTCTACCAAAATTGTGAAATTCATGAACCACCAAAATAAGACTAATTCTTAAAACAAGAGGCCCATGGGCCACAACGCTCACCTGAGTAACTTTGGCCTTGCTGTTTTTCACCAGATTTTCCCCTTGTAATATGTATTGTGGACCCACCCTATCCCAGGGGGTCATGATTTGAACAATTTAGAATCTACACTAAACCCAGGATGCTTGATTGTAAGTTTCAGCTTTTCTGACCCAGTGGTTCTTGAGAAGAAGATTTTTAAAGAATTTTCCTATATATTTCAATGTAAAACTTTGATTCCCCATTGTGGCCCCATCCTACCCCCGGGGGTCATGATTCGAACAAATTAGAATTTACACTACTCCAGAATGCTTCCATGTAAGCTTCAGCTTTTCTGGCCCAGTGGTTTTTGAGAAGATTTTTCCTGTATATTTCAATTTAAAACTTTGATTCCCCATTGTGGCCCCACCCTACCCCTGTCCCCCGGGGGTCATGATTTGAATAATTTAGAATCTACACTACCCTATAATGGTTCCATGTAAGATTCAGCTTTTCTGGCTCAATGGTTCTTGAGAAGAAAATTTTTTAATGACCCCACCCTATTTTTGTCTTTTCTTGATTTTCTCCCCTTGTAAATGGGCTTGGCCCTTCATTTTAACAATTTAAACTCCTATTCACCCAAGGATGCTTTGTACCAACTTTGGTCAAAATTGGCCTAATGGTTCTTGAAAAGAAGTTTAAAATGTGAAAAGTTTACAGACAGACAGACAACAGGTGATCAAAATAGCTCACTTGAGCTTTCAGCTCAGATGAGCTAACAAGAGATCCAAGAGCCTTAACGATTGCCTGAGTACTGAGTATAATACAACACTACAAAGGATCTATAGAAGTATAAAATAAAATAATTTAATTCTGGTTGTAAGGCATTATTTGATTGGATAAAAAATTTACTTTATATCGTATAAACTATGTTGCCTATGGCTTATTTAAAAAAAAAAAATGTATCGATCAGCCTGACTTTACATTTGAATTTTGTGCAATTTGAAGTCATTTTTTAAGGACAATCGACTTATGAACTTACACTCAATGAATGAAAAATTAAATTATAAGGAATTAATTTAATAGCTACCAAATTTATAATGTATAAACTAGGTTGGGGCAATTTATGCTTTATAAATCACAAAGAACATTTAATATACAAGGATAAGATAATTTTTGTCTCATTTTTTATACATCTATTATTTACATGTCTACCTGTCCATTAAAACCTAAGAAAGTATTTTCTGCATTATATTTAATTTATAAACATTCTTGTATAATTCTCTTATTCAACTGACCTTTCAATTACATTATTTACAGTGATTAATCATCATAGGTGAATAGGAAAGGGGAATAACTTCTCTCAGTAGAATACAAATTAATTTTAGCCCTACATGCCTAACATCAAATCATTCACCAAGTTTTCAAGAATTTCAAAAATCTGGTCAAAATACCCTTGCTTATTACAGGTGTTTGCCTCTAGATACCCAGGAGTAGAGAAGATTTTCTAAGAAATACTTGTAATTCATTTTCATTATATAATCAATAGACCCCCCCCCCCCATACCCTTGGCCCAGGCAACAAATTTGTTTGCTTAATTCCCAGAAGAGAAGAGGATTTTTAATGAAATAATGCATTTTCTTCTGTAAATAATCAATAGAGCTCCAACCCCTGACCCTGGGGCCACAAATTTTACAATTTTGGAAGAGGCACCCTTACTCATCATAACCATGCACCAAGTTTATCTGCTAAATATACAGGGGGAGAGAAAAGATTTTTAAAGTCACTATGTGATCATTAGAGCCCCACCCTAACTTCAGAACCCCTGACTTAGGACCATGAATTTCACAATTTTGCAGAGGACTCAATGATAAATACAATCATGCCAACAGTTTGACTGCTTGATGTCCAGGACTAAAGATTTTAGAAGATAGCACTAATTTTGATGGTTTGGGCCCCACCCCTCAGGCCCCAGGGGGGCAGGGACCATGAAAATCATAATTTTTGTACCCCTTCACCCAATGATGCTATATACCAAAATTGGTTGAAATTGGCTCAATGGTTCAAGAGAACAAGCTGAAAATGTTCAACAGTTTCCAAACTATGAACTATGCATGATGATGGACAAAAAAAAGATAGCAATAGGTCACCTGAGTGACTCAGGGGAATTAAAAAAACAACAACAGTGAAACAAACAAGATTTTAAAAATATTTACAGTCATTCTAGTTTAAGCAACCATGGGAACACATTCATTGAAAATCAGTTCAAAAGTGCATAAAAAGAATGGTATCTCTTGAATGTACTCTACTTCTGTAGTACGATTTATTAATAAATATCACACAAAAGCCATAGGTGGAGAAGCCTTAGGAATTTTTTTTTCAAAATAGCCAATCAAATGGATTAACAATGACAACTTGACCATCACATTTGAATAATTTTAATGCAGTTAAACCGAGTTGGTTTGCAATCATGATTCAAATACTCAATGTTTCTCCTTCATATTTGTATCAAAATAACAATTCACAAATGATACAGTGTGCCGTAATCACGTTAATGTCACATAATACACGATTAACAGAAAATGCAAGACAGCCTTTGTAGACTAATTTAACACAAAGTACATGAATAAATAAATGAAGCCATTCTACACTTACTAGTGTAGTTTTCAGTAATTCATTACTTAAAATCCAAAAAGAAAGAAAAAAGAAAGAAATAGACAACAGCACATTCATTTCACAATACGAACTTTCTGTCTTTTTGACAAAGTACAGTACATGTATACAGTATGTTATCTCATGGAATAAAGATTGCACTATTAGTAAAATACATATTTATCCTGACAGAGCGCATGTGTGCAACCTAGCGTATCAGTTTGTCAAGAGTCTTAACACTTTGGTAGTGGTTAATTGGCACTGAGTGCGTGACCAGAGTTTGTTTTTTACATTAGGAATTTGTCCTCTTCTATCTAGATGCTATGGAGGAGTGACCAGCATCAACCCTTTCTAATTTTTCAAAATGTTTTCTGGCATTCTTAATGTTGATAAGTGTTGCTGCTGAAGCTGAAAATGAAATTCATATTTTACTGAAAGACACATTTTCTGCCATCAGTGAGCTATGAAGGGAAATAACTCTTCAAGAAAGATAACTCTTGGAACCAGTGATATACAGAAGAAAATTTTTTCACATTTATTTTAATTATAAAATTGTTTTGGTTGCAAACTTCAAATGAAGAAACAATGTAATACATACGTATAGTGGGATCTGACATGACTACCATTACATAGGTATTGGATGTAAAGACATCAATGTATGCTGAGAAATTCTTATTGCTGACTTCCATCCCCTGAAATGTGGCAGCTAGTTTGCTACAACTTAGTTTAAACTGCTTAATGATGTTACTGATCTTTTCAAACCTGTGGAGATCTGGGTGGTGTTTTCTCTCACAATGAGAAATTACCTGCAAAAATTAAACACTCAGAAGACTACAAAAAAGTTAATGCATGTATCATACAAACAAACAAAATTTAAATGGTCACTAGCAAACCTTTTGGTTTGTGTTTTGTAAAGATTAGAAATTATAATTATTTTAAAGATTAAAAATACACAATGTATAATATGCTGTTTGTGTATGCAGTATTAAATAATGATGTGGCATTTATGTCAAAACAGCAGTGTTTTGACATTTAGTGCATGACCCATAGAGGAGCATATTAATAAATGACAAAAATTTGGCATCATAAATATGTATTAAAACACACCATTTTTATTATTACTTAGCTGTCTGTCATATAGTGTTATCCTGCATAAATGTTTTATTTTAATTCCTAACCTACTGACTAATGACATCATGGTTTACTCATTTTCCCAAAGTGTGCTACATGTATATATCAAATGCTTTGAATACTGTTAGATGAAAGTAGGGCATCAGGTACTGTACAGGTATGTAGGGTAAAACAAATCACATTAAATTTTGGTGAAATATTAAGTCTTGGTTTAAACACAGAAGGGAGGATCAGGGGGGTAAGGTATTAAATATAAAAGGACAAACTATCAGGCAATGTTATCTATCACTACTAGTATAAGACACAAGTATGCAAACATATGAACATTTAAAGAATCTTGAATTAAAGTAGCCACCTACCAGAAATGTTGCCCTTTCAAACAGGAGAACTTCGTCTGCCTCTATAATGTTTGCAAAATTGGTCAGATTGGCCTCTAACTGCTGAACATTAGGAATCAGCTGATATACAATGTTGGACCAAGCCTGAAAAATTAAAAAAAAAAACAAAAAAAATCAGTTCTTTTCTATTCAAATACTTTACCATGCCACACAGATAATAGAGATAGAGATTTCTTGTTGCAATTATTACATGTAGTTAAAAATATGTTTGAATCCTTTTTTTTGGTATTAAGTCTGAATAAACCTATAAAAAAATATTGTACCAACAGTATAGTGTAAAAATTGTATTGCAATTACTGCAACATTATGCATTACTTTGATGTGTATCACCCAACCCTATTGACATTAAAAAAGTGTTTCATTTGTCAGCAAAACCTTTTGAAAATACTTGAACCATTTTGTTCATGGAGCTTTTTAAACATTATCTGAATCTTCCTAATGCACATATAGTCCTTTGAACAATATCGTTATTATTTTCAAACTATCACACAATATGTTACAGTATTCTACACTATCAAACATTCCTTCGCTTAACAATACCTTATACAGAGTTTCATCCCAGATAGATGTGGCAAAACAAGTACAGTCTAGTGGCTTTGATAATCTTTTTAGATCCTCTTCTCTTTCTCTGAATATCTGAAATCAATTTATGCATGTAAAATGTCTGCAATATTACTGGTATAAAAATTTCAGGAAATATTGTGTATAAACAGACTCTCAATATTAAAATTATAAACAAACCCCTTAATCTTCAAATAATCTTAATTCTATTACACTGTATTTTTAATTTTTAATATTAATTATAACGAGGTCTGAGGGCCACAATGCTCACCTGAGTTTTAGATTTTTAAAAAATTTTCCTCTTTGATTTCACAATTTTTTTTTAACTCCATATTGTCAATCAAAATCTAGCACTAAGGGAACTATGATTTAATCAAAGTTGAATCCTCAAAATGTTGGAATGCCTCGATATCAATACAATCAACATGGCCCTGTTGTTCTGGAGAAGTTTTCTTCTTGTACACATGCATTGTAAATTATTTTAATATATTCCTATGTAAAACTTTGATCTATTGTGGCCCCATCCTTCCCGGCATTGAATGCCGACCTACTGAAAATGACAAATTCAAAGTGTATCATCGATGAGTTACAACAAAGGAGATTTAGATGGCTAGGACATGTCCTTAGAATGGAAGGATTGAGAATTCAAAAAGTCGCCCTAAGATGGACACCACCAGGAAAAAGACCAAGGGGAAGGCCAAAAACCACCTGGCGCAAGACAGTCAAGGGTGAACTGAGAGACCTTCACCTGACTTGGGGAGGGGCAGAGACCATGGCCAAGAAGAGAGCTGAGTGGTGAAGTCCTGTGTTGACCTTATGCTCCACTGGGAGCAAAGAGGATAGGTAGGTACGAAGGCCCCATCCTTATCCCAGCTGCCACAAATTGAAAAATCTTAAAATCTACACTTCTTGAGGATGCTTCCATATAAAAATGACTAATCATGGGTTTGCTGTTTTTGAGAAGATTTGTAAAGATTTTTTCCTAAATATTCCTATGAAAAGCTTTAATTTCCTAATGTGGCCCCATCCTACCCCCAGGGAATCAGGATTTAAACAAACCTGGATCTACACAACTAATGAAGCTTCCGTATAAGTGTAATCTTTTCTAGCCCAGTAGTTCTGAAAAGAAGATTTTTAAAAGATGCCATGAAATTTTCACTAGTTCTTTATTATCTCCCCTTGAAACAGGGAGTGGCCCTTCATTTGAACAAACTTGAATTCTCTTTACCTTTTTGTAGCAGATTTGTTTGAAATGGCCCAGTGGTTCTTGTGCAGAAGTAGAAAATTGAAAAGTTTACAAAAGAACGGATGGATGGAGCATAGGAATGAAACGGTTCACCACATCATCGATTCACTGCGGTATTTTTTGTTGGTTTGATATACAGTACAAAATCTTCATTTTCAGTTCTGTTCATTTTTCGGTTGGTACTGTTATTTCAGGCCTTTCAAAATCTGCCAGTAACTGGAATACTTTTACCTGGCTGAAATTATGATTGTACCAGCCAAAATATCTGACTGAGAAAAATTCAATAACATGTTTAATTAAAATTGCTTCCACAAGGTACCTCGTTTTTTGTAAATGTACCACCTGTTTTTAATAATTTTCAAACCCCTGTTATTCGATCAGGTTTGGCATTGGTAAAAACACGCTACACAGCATGATTAAATTTTACAAATGTGATTCTTTGATGACTTATACTTTGTAAAATAATCTTTAACAGTCAATTCATTCTAACCAACTTTTTCTAGTCAATCTGCATTTAGATCAAGTTACTGATTTTAGTGAAACAAAACATAAAACAACTTTGAATTTGTTTCCTTCTATCAAAATGTATTGTATCAAAAATAACAGTCCCGGGACAAAATTATACAATAAGTATTTCATTGTTTAACCCCTAATGGAAAGACAGATAGCTAGATGGATGCCAGACAAAATGTGATCAGAAAAGTCAACTTGATCTTTCAGCTCAGATGATCTAAAAATTATGAAAGAATCTGACCATATCTCTCTGATCATCCTGCACAAGGTCCATTTTGTGGACTAGACAAAAGACCTTTGCATCAGGTGAGTTCTGTAAAATGGCCTCCAGACAGGATTGATAGTAATGCATGTCCTTCTCCAGCTCACGACTCTCGACATCAAACACGTAGATCAGGACCTCTACATTACGGAAAATGTTGTCTCTCTGACTTGCAAAATAGTTCTCCATGAATGCTTCTTGTCTGAAAACAACAAATAAATTAGTTCATGTAATTTACCAGGAACTTCAATCTGATTTAATGCTTAGTTGCTTACTATATTGTGAGTCCCTACTGTGAATCAAAGGAGTATGCAAATTTCAGTTGTGTATCTAAAATGTAATTTTGTCATTGTTTACCCTTGATGATAAAAGCTTACCCTCCACAGTCCCAAAGATTCAGGACAAGGTTTCCCAGGAAACGCACATGAGAATGTTCCACATCAACTAAAAAGAGGATTAGTTGAGTTTAAGTAAATGTATAATAATTATGAATTAACTTTAATGTTGTTAATTGTATTTATTATCCAATTCAGTGGGTTCAAGTTCTGTATTTAAAGAAAAAGGTTTAAATCCAAATTTATCTTGAAATACACATATTTATAAACATATTATAAAATACTAAAATGCACAAATTCATTTTTATTTAATAAAACTATGCTTGCTAACAAAGAACTTACACCTGACAATTAAATTGATGTCAATAAACCCAAAATTGAAAACAAATAGTTCTGTACAAGTATTACTTCTCAAAAGTGAACATGAATTGAAAAGTTAACACAAAGCTGCATGTATTAGAGATCTCACATACTTGTAGCCCCAAGTCTTCTAGTATCCCTTGCAATATAATTGGCAAAAATAATTGACCTCATGCTGGTTTTTCCTGATCCACTTTTACCCATCAGCAGCACCTGTTATACAATATTAAATATTGTTTTTCTAACAGTGATTAGAATGTTGTAAGGGCATGTTTAGCTATAGCTGCAATAATGTAGCCCTCTCCGATTTTTTATTATCTGATGTTTTCTCTCCCAAAAAAAAAAAAAAAAAAAAAAAAAAAAAAAGGGAGAGGGCTACATTATTGCAGCTAGTTTAGCTACATTTATGAAGTTTCAAATCTGACTGCCTTGTGCCACTTGTATTCTGACTCAGTGATTCAAAGGCACTGGAAGTTGTGTGCATGTATAAACAAGAGGCCAATGGGCCACAAGCCTAACCTAAGTAACTATGGCCCTTCCTTTTCTTCATCAGCAGATTCTGTTTCTTATATATTCCTATGTAAAAATTTGATTGCCCATTATAGCCCTATCCTTCTCCCAAGAGTCATGACCTGGACAAATCTGAATCTACACTACCTGAGGATGCATCCATATAAATATGATTACCGGCCATCACTTTCTTGTTCTTGAGAAAAACTGAAGATTTTTAAAGCGACAGTATGGCTGCAAAATGTGTGTTTTTCAGTCAAATTTACCAAATATATCATTAAGAAATGAGGTAAAAAGTTGATGTCAACAGTTTCAGAAACATGAATTTTCTCTCCTCAAACAAAATTAATGCAATTAAAATCTACCAGAAATCAAAGGGTCATACAAACTGGAGCAATCTTAGATCTGTTTATTTGTACCACATGAATTCTGAATGACACATGCCTAAACTGTATAGTTTACAATTATAATCATGGAATATGAGGTAAAGGCAATTCTCAAAAGCAAAATATAATAACTTTTCAAATAAATTATTAATCGTTACCTTTTTAATCTGCTTTCAGAATTAAAAATACAAATATTGATGTTTCATGTATTGGGGTCCGAGAAGGGAAAATCACTAAATCATGCGTTATTGCGGCAAAACATCGAAAATATTTTTAAGGTGTTGAGCTTACACTGCTTTTTTTTTTGAAGGCGATGGAGATATGAGAAATGATAACATGTATCAACAAACCTGTTGAGAACCTTCACGAGCCCTGTGCCAGTCTCACTGAGCTCCCGTTTCTTCTTCAGATCCACCAGCAATTATAATAATCTCCCAAGTAAAATTTGGTCAAGAAATTCGCTTTTTCAAGCCTATTTTCAGTTTTTTTCTTCTTGGACAACTTTATCAAGGTAGAGGCCTACCTGGCTACCCTCTTTTACCATGCTGTTTTGTTTATGATAAGTATGCATGCATGAATGGCATGGAGTGTGTAACCCCCAGCATGTTGCGATGTATATATTTATGGTCCATAAATAATTATTAATTCTAATGAAATAAACAAAGTTATTTAGTTATGAAACTTGTAATTTTCTGAAAGTTTATACATTTATGAGTAGTAAAAAAATTCCAGATCTTATCAGAAAATTTGTTGTCGGATGGCACAAAATTCACAAGAGTTTTTTGGCCTATAGAGATGACTATAAAGGGTTAGGAGGTGGATAAAATAATAATAATTATACAGGTTGGTTTAGAATATGTCTAGAATTAGGGGATGTAAGGTCGTTGATTGACCAATGCTGGAATTTTAGTGGCGAAATACGTCCCCAAAGTGCGAAGAAAATCTTGCGCAGTAAATTGCACTTTATTTACATTACGGGATCTGTGGCATTATGGTCAAAGACTAAAATATAAAACCATAACGCTACAGTTCTGCAGTTACTGTATGCCATAATCAGATAATGGGTTTAAAAAAAATGAGAGAGAAAAAAACCATTCAAGACAACTGTAATGTATAATAAAAGTATACATAAATTCATAAAGTAAAACAAATAAATAAATAAATTCAAAATGCTTCATTCCACAAGACCTTCTGTGTCTGTCGAAAATTAGATGTGAAGCAATTATAAATGTAGCAGAGATAACTCGAACCAATGCCATTTCACAATTGATTAGGAATTTTATCTTTCATCCTAGATATAGACCTAAAGTACAAGTACCTACCTTCTTCTTCATTTTTGTTGGTGCCTTAGACATGATTAAACGTTTAACAAAATACCAGCATAAAAAAAAGTTTTAAAATGTCAACAACTGACTCAACTTTCGGATCACATGATATTTACTGCAGAATATATCACTTCGTCAGTTATAGTTATTTTGTCAGTGGACAAAAAATAATCATAAGTTGTTCATTCCAATGCGAGACAAATGAAGTATTAAATATTTTTATTATTTATATTTTTATGTTTTGAGATAACAGGAACGGGGAAAAAATGTTGATTGTTTACTTCCGCACCTGCACGGTTTCGTTTTCAACATATAGATCTAAGTCATATTGCTATTGAACTGAAGATGTAGAACTGTAGACTACTTTAATTTGGTAAATACTCTCTGTACACATACCTCTGTTCTTCATCGAGGAACTAAAAACAAATGTTAATGCGAACAGGTAACGTTAGAGGAGCGAAAATGAAGTCGAAATTTAAATATTAGATTTGGGCATATTTCACATGTCTGTTCCTTGTGAAAAGACATTACCTTGGGTACTAACATTTTTGACCTCAATAATTTGACCTTGGAACTTGATCTTTTTTGAAAAATCTTAATTCTAATTGTTTGTGCTGGGGCTGTCATATTTCACTTGTGACAAGACTTTTTTTTAGGTTCCAACATTTTTGACCTAAAAAATTCTAAAGCTATGTTCATTGTGTTATGAAATGTATCAGTGCATCATACTTAAATTGAAGTTCCAGGTAATTAAAAAAATTGTCCTTTATTGGCTTTAAAATTATGGGGAAAAAATTGCTGTGTGTTTAATCATCATAACACTACTAGTATTAGTATGACAATGTGGATACTGTAGATCACTATATTTTCGCGACACCTTATATTCGCATGATAGCTATCTTGTATTTATAAAGGAGACAAAATTTATGCGAGCTTTTGTGATTATTGTATGTAAGACTGCGGAACATTAACTGGCAAAATTGGAAATATGCAGCTTTGGTCATTTCCATCTGTTACAGTCAAAGCATTTAATAATAGACAACGAAATGGGCGGGTATATTTTGACACAGACGTCCGAGAAAACATTAGATTGAAATTCTAGTTTGAAATTCATTTTCAATCCACCTCAGCTACTCTAGAACGCACAATGTTACTGCTTCACCCAGAAGACAAATAATTTCAATTTCGGAATAGTTTGAAATTTATATAAATCAAGTTTTCTGTCCAGTGTTTTTAAAGAAATGTAAAGGGACAAATATTTGATTTCTGTTTGGTATGTGTATGTGTGTGCTGGGGGGGGGGGGGGGGGGAGGGTGAATGATCTTGAAAATATGAAAATAAATAAGAAATTTTTAGTTTTCTTTTAGTTTGGACAACCCCTATCTGTTTTTGTTTGTAAAACATTTTTCAGTGAAGACAAAACTAAAAATGTTATTCTGTCATGTGAAGGCATGATCTGACTTCACAATTTTTAACACCCCCTCCCCCCCTTCTAGAATCAAATGGCCGTTCCCTGAAAAAATAATCTCTGCCTTCTTTTACTTTTAGGCGTCCTTAAAATTATAGAATAAAAAACTCATATAAATATGAATTTCAAACAACATGTATTTGGGAATTGAAATTATTTGTCTTTTGGATCATACATTCACACTTAAGGTTTGAAAACAGCTGAGGTGGATTAAAAATGAATTTCAAACTAGAATTTCAATCCAATGTTTATCGGACATCCGTGTCGAATTGTACCCGCCTATTTCATTGTGTATCATTAAATGTTTTGACTGTAACAGATGGAAATGACGTAAGCTGCATGTATCCAATTTTGCCAGTTAATGTTCCGGGGTCTTAACCATAACAAAACAAATATATGCGTGAATAAAATCTTTTCCAGTAGACAGACTCGCGTAATTACGTGAAAATAAAGTTCTCACGAATAAAAAGTGATTTACAGTAGTAAAAAGAAAGATTTTAATTTCTTTTCTCAGGTATCGGGTGAAAATTGGCTGGTAGTTGTTCTAACAAACAAGCAAGGAAATAATGGAGAGTACTGGGTCAACATTACTATTTTTTATTTGTATCATTCCTCAAATTCTAGGTAAGCTAATTTTCAGGAAGCGCAAAACACTAACAAAAAGTGTTTTCTTTTGGACTTTGAGAAATTATATTGTATATTAAAGGTGTACATATTAAGTTTATCTGGTTTAATTTTCAACACAGGGTCCCTGCCGTATATCCCCAGGAAAAAATGTTAAAAAACAATTACAAATTAATGAACAGAAATTACTGTTATTCACTTACCTCGGGAAAATACATTTAAATAATGTACATGTGTTTACTTTATTTTTGTCTAATATAATGTTGAGAATACTTAAATCCATTACAAATTGTGTCATTAATTAACTCGCATTTATTCTGTCCTATATTCAAGGGCAGATAACTCTTTAAGTGCATAAAACTGCTGTATGATAAGAACCATTTAGTGTGCAGTCTTTAGAACTATTTGTATTAATTTTAATAATTGAAAGGTACTTAAAGTATTTTGACTTCTCTTTCATATGTCTATGAAAATTAAATTGGTTCATACAGAATTTTTCATTAAAATTCATTTGGATCTGTCCTTTCTTCTATATTAACATTTTGGTGTTAGGACCACATTTCTTGTAATCTAATACATGTACATGTAATCATCAAGGTAATAGCTTGAACTACTCTTAGTAATACACATGTATTTTTCATAAGCAAACAAGGTATTTATAGAGTCCTTATCTTTAAAAAAAAACATTAAACAGTCTTTCTAGTAGAAAGTTTCTACAGAGTGTATTCCCAATTTTGCATGACTGTACTTACTATGTACTTTTTTAGGGTCATCATGGAAGGATGTTTTTGTGGATAATCAGAGATGGTTTGGCTCTTACATGTTTCACTATGAAACAGAGGACTACACAGAAAAGATTAAATGTAGCATGAGCATCTACCATGTCGTGAAAGAGGGTCTAGGAACTGTATATGCTGGCTTTTCAGACCCTGATACAAGCATGGAGTTAGAAGGTATAAACACAGAGAAAATACAGATACAAAGCGTAGCACAGAGAATATGGAGATAGAGGGTAAAAATATACATGGAACAAGGAGTTGATCTGCTTAAGCAATTTAGCATCTAGAACATACAGTTTGTAGCAAGGTGTAAAGTAAACATCAAGAACAAAGAAGGTTATCAACAACTAAAATATACTAATGTAGAAGGCATAAATCTAGAACATTAAGTTAGAAGATAAGAACATTTAGATTATAAAGTTAGAAGGTATGGAGGTCTAGGATATAGAGTTGGAAGGTATGAAGTTCAAAGGTATGAAGATCTAGGGCAAAGAATAAAAAAGGTATGAACATCTAGAACATAATGGTAGAGAGTATGAACATATAGGACATGAAAGGTTTGAACATCTTGGACATTTAGTTAGAAAGTATGAACTTCTGGAATAAGGAAGTATGAACATCTAGGGTATAATGTTAGAAGGTATGTGTACATGATAAAACATGGCACATTTAGAAATGTATAGAATACGAAGGTAGAGGAAGTGCATTTCTTAAGATGCCAGAAGGTACATAAGGCCAAAATAAAAAATAGGTTTGTTTCCCCTAACGCGACCGACCCACTTAAATCGTGCCGACTGAAAAGTTTTTTAATAGGATTATTCGAATATTTATTTTTACTGTTTATCAACTTCATAAAATGCAATTTCATCAAAATTCGTTTCTTATCAGAATGGCGGCTTTTGTTTTACTCTCATTTGGCGCCCACAACATGTGGCCACAGAAGGTTATTTAGTGTTATAAAACAATGGCGATGTATCAATCTTAATATACATCTTTAACTTATTAGAATCCTACACTCTTGAAACATTTCGTGAATTAAATATACCATGACTAAGAAGTGTTAAGATGGTATTTACAAATTGTCTTCTTAAATTAACGTACGTAGTAAGCATGACAAAGCCTGCCTCATGAGCAGATGAGGGGCCCAATTTGTGTATGCATATCAATAAATTTCACTGCATTTCATTCGTTTTGATCTAATAAAAAAGACACTTTATGTATGATTCTATTTTTACTATATAGGACCATAGGATTTGTAAATATATCTTTGTATAATTATTTCATCTTGATAAATATAATTCGGATGTCGTTTCTTCATTCCTTTTATTTATGGGGTAAACTTAGTGACTATAACATTAGATATATGAAACTTTAATCATTTTAGATATGGTTTGGTTGATTTAAATATTGTTTATACAGGTACTCTCTTTTCAAATAGTGTTGAAATCTTTAAAGTTGGCTTATGGTACGGCTTTCTGAGACGTCCAGTGTAATTTTCTTTCCTTTAGTTGGGCCCTTGAAAATAGGTTGTTTCTTTGCTTTAAAATACCTTTAAAAATTGCTGGGTCGACAACATTTGAACACCTGCCTGGTGGAGGGCTCCTAATTTAGACTTTTTCTCGGCACTTATGGCCATTGATCATACATGTAAAGCATCAGTAAGGTATAGCCACTAACCAAAGAGTTAGGGGTCTTACATAATTTATAATTTTATATATTTTAATATTACATGATTTACATTTCTATTTTATACTTTAGTTTTCTATTTCATTCACTCTAATATTTAATTGATACAAAGATGCCATATATTTAAAAGTTAAGCAGATGGCTTGTAAGTTGTATATATGTCTAGTACATTGTTATCTAGTCTTTGAAGTCAATTTAGTTAATCCCCTGTGCAATTATCTTTTGTTACCCTGAAGACAGTATAGGTGTCACAGTAATTAACACTTTACCTTTCCAGATCGCTCTATTGTAAAGATGTCAAACAATCCTGAGTAAATTAAATAATCACTCAATTCCCCTTTAGGCAAGGATTATATTTTATCTAATGAACAAAGAGATAATCTCAGTAGTAGTAGTTTGGCATCAGAGTAGTAAGTTGAGAAGTAAGAGAGTTAGGAGTTAGGGCTAGAGCAGGCAGCTAGCAGACCCAGTTTATATATATGTATATATAATGAACATATATCCTTAATAAAGACTGGAAAAGGATTTATCTTATATGTCTTAATCTTTGACAATTCCATGTCAAGGACAGTAACCATGTCTAATGGTTACTGAGTGACCGAGTGTTTAGGCCAGGTGTGCACCTGCATGCAGTAGGGTGCACTACCTATTCCGGGTGGACCCCTACCCTCCCCTGTCGGCGGTCACAAAGGGATCATCTACATGTATACTGTGACACTGCATGGCCCTACGTTTTTACAGTCTCATTTGACTGACCAGTTTCCACGCCCCACGTCGGGACCTGTGACTTAGAATAAGCTCCTGAATTACGACGTGACTCCAAAACGAAACACTAAAATTACTGCGCCACGCGAGGCCCTTGACATTTTATCTGGGTAAGCACTCGAAGATGATAGTAGGTTTAAAAAAATAAACTCGGATGGCCGATGGTTGAGTATTTGCGAATCTTGTCTTTTTGTAAAAATTCAATTTCAATAAATTTAAAATTAAGTTCAAATGAATAATATTTGTGAATTAATTTACCATACATGTTAAATTTCATTTGTATGATATTCGGTTTAAAAAAAAATGTTCTTTCTTATTTATACAGATATTATTCAATTTTCAGAATGTATTTTCAAAACTGCTGTCAGAAAAAAGAATAATTTACCTACCTACCTACTCAACTTGAAATTTTAGGGTTGGGTTAGGGGAAACAGAGATATTTTTAACGATGGCCTAACCAAATAGCTAGAATAATAGATGGTTGGGTTAAAAGGTTGAAACAAATTTAAGACTAGAGATTAGGGCATAACCATCCAGAATCAGACTGAGCAATTCTTACCAACTATTTTAATAGAACTAACATAATGCTTGTTTTCTTGTTTAGTGAAGGTGGTTTTGTTTTGTTTGTTTGTTTTTTGAAAGGAGTAAATTAAAAACAAAATCCATATCCTTGATTCTGAGTAACTGAGCTTTTGATTTACTTTGTAGGAGGACATTTACTGAATGCTCCAAATTTCACCATTCAGTTCATTAAGTCCACGATATATCAGGCCACCAGTAATCGCATCCCCACCTCTGGCGAGTTTGAAATCACAGGAAGACTAATCCACACAAAGTCAGGCTGGGAGTATCACGCAAATGTTACAAAACCAGTTAATAACTCATTTAGTAACTTAGTCCTCTCAACCTTAGAAGGTATAGTATTATAACCGTGGATTGAAACAGTGCATAATTTTTACTTGTGGACAAGATAAAAAGAATACCATTAACATACTTAATTTAGCTGTAAACAGATACTTTTGCTCTGGTTTTTGTCCACTAATTCAAGTACAGTCAAACCTCAATATCTTGAACTCAGTGGGACCTTGGGAAAAGTTTGAGATATGCGAGGATTTGAGATACTTACTTAGTCCTCTTTGTGTTTTGAGCATGTAAGGCCTGAAGAGGATTAGAGGTATCTAGGGTAAAATACTTAAAGAATAAATGGTTGGGACTTAAAATCACTTCAACATATCCATGGTATTCAAGATATCTGTGTTCCAGATATGAAGTTCAACTGTACATGCTATCATATTATTTAAACAAATATATATATATATGTATATAGAAGCTTTGTTACAAATGTGCTAATTCATGATAACGCTAATCAGTCGAGGTGGAAGATTGTGCTAAATTTTGAGTGCACTAATTTATAATATTTTACAGAAGTCATTCTCATAAAGGAGAGATATTTATATCAGATTCACTTTCCTCTGCATGCATAATACTGGTTAAAGCAGAGTGCAATAATTTGTAATTTTTGTGATTATCTTTTACTGGTAATTGAATAGAAACAAATTACTCCTTAGTTAGTCCTTACTATGTGTATTAAAATTGTTTTTTTCAGTATCTTCCAAACCCCCAGAAAAGGATAGGTCCTTACAGATTGGCCTCACCATTGGACTTTCCCTGTTATTTTGCCTAATTGGAATTGGCATCATGGTTGGCTTAGTCATGTGGGGAGTGCGGAAAGGTTACATTCGACATGTGGCAGCTAATTACAAAAACTTCAAGAATCCTGCTCCTAAATTCAATGTTAAAGAGGGTGATGTCCATATGTAGGCATAGAAAACTATACATTAAAAATTCAAAATTTTCTTTGTACTTGGTAATACATGTATATGTTGTCTACCACCTTAAATGTACAGCAAATTTAAATTTGAAGTTGTATACTAACGAATTTACATGCGTATCTTGTGCTACAATGAGAAGATTGTCCACTGAAAGTGAAAACATGATTGACCTACTGTTTTGTAGTTTGCTTCAACAGAGATTTTTTTTTTAATTTTTATTGTGTAAGAGTCTGTGTATGATTTTTTGCAAGGTTGACTTTCTGTGATTTTTTATGTCAGGTTGTGATGTATGTAATATTTCATCAGGTTGGAGCCTGCCATTTGCTCTGCAATTCATATCACATGTATATAAATATTTGATTTATTTAATTGCCTATGATCCTATTATATTTGATTTCCTATTATACTCATGACATTCCTTTTTATTGTATTAATGGTTGTACAACCAAACTTGTTTTCTGTGAGTATGCAATGTCTATTATACCCATGGCAATCTGTGATCTTAAAAAAGATAATATTGCCTACACCAAGGATTTAGATTTAATTTTGAACTGCTGCTGGTAACTGGTGCAAACAAGCTACTATATTAACTGGATTATCAAGTGCTTTCAGATGGTTGTTTACTACCATACAGGTGTAAAGCGTAGTTTCACTTTTCTGCGACTTGACACAGCTTCTGCAAAAAAAAAAAGTCCTGCTTTTTCGCGACAATTTTTACTGCTTTTCCGTGATTATAATTTTTAGCTTTTCTGCGACTTTTTTCGTACCTCTCCCATTAGCCAGGTAAAACCTGTTGCCCCCTGCTTACCACAAGGAGGTTGTAAACGTGGCTTTGCAGATTTTATCAACGCTGCATCAGTATGACACATCCCCATTCCTTAAAACATTTACTTTTCTGTATGTAAATCCATCATAGATTATATATTTGTCCCCCCGATTCAATTTCCATATTGTTTAAAACCTATCACCGACCAGTGTCAATGCGAGATTCATTCAATTTTTATCACCACGTGAGTAAGCACTCACTACCTAGTAGAACACTTTGGGGAAATACAATTAAATATCAGTAACCGTTTGACGTTAATTGCTAAGCATAACCATTTAAAATAGCGGAGAGGAAGTGTCAAAAAAAGGAGATAACACATAACATATAGTAAAAACCAATCAAGGAAAAGCAGTATAGAGTAGTTGTGGAAAAGCAACAAGGTTCCGAAAATGAAATCACGGAAAAGCAAGTCAGCTGTGTAAAGCCATTATTATCTGTGAAGTTTTTAGTGTGAATAATACACTGGTGCATTTAGCTTCTGTTTAGGAATCTCTAATAATGACTTTATTGATAATCTTTTTGTTTCTCTTTATTTTACTTTTTGGTGAGGGTAAGGTGCATTGTTGAAGAATATTTTTTTTTTACAGTTCATTTTATAAAATTTAAGATCATAATGAAAGTAACACAATTTATGCTGTAATTGAAGTAGAGAGCAGAGAATTTCAGCTTCAACCGATTATTTGAGAATGAATTCTTTGACTTTTAATTCAGAAAACAGATGCAATTATTTGGTTTTAAACAAGTCCAATTCAGTAAAATCATCAGTAGCTTAAACAGGTGAGATAAAAAAAAAAAAAAAAAACGATACTCATGAGATTTCTGAGATTTTTTTAAAATATAAAATGAATTTGCTGAGAACCGTCCCATCTCTATTTTTTTTTTCTTTTTTAGAAAAAAATGCTGTAAAAAGAATAGGATAGGTTTTTTAGCTCACCTGAGCCGAAGGCTCAAGTGAGCTTTTCTGATCACATTTTGTCTGTAGTCCGTCTGTCCGTCTGTCCGTCTGTCTGTCTGTCTGTCTGTCTGTCTGTCCGTCCGTCCGTCTGTAAACTTTTCACATTTTCGACTTCTTCTCAAGAACCACTGGGCCAATTTCAACCAAACTTGCCACAAAGTATCCTTGGGTGAAGGGGATTCAAATTTGTTCAAATGAAGGGCCACGCCCTCTTTCAAGGGGAGATAATAAAGAATTAGTGAAAAATTAATAGCATCTTTTAAAAATCTTCTTCTCAAGAACCACAAAGCCAGGGAAGATGAAACTCATGTGGAAGCATCCTCAGGTAGTGTAGATTCAAGTTTGTTCAAATCATGACCCCCGGGGGTAGGGCGGGGCCACAGTGGAGGATCAAAGTTTTACATAGAAATATATAGGAAAAACCTTTAAAAATCTTCTTCTCAAGAACAGCAAAGCCATGATGAGTCATATTTACATGGAAGCATCCTCAAGTAGTGTAGATTCAAGTTTGTTCAAATCATGACCCCCGGGGGTAGGGCGGGGCCACAGTGGAGGATCAAAGTTTTACATAGAAATATATAGGAAAAACCTTTAAAAATCTTCTTCTCAAGAACAGCAAAGCCATGATGAGTCATATTTATATGGAAGCATCCTCAAGTAGTGTAGATTCAAGTTGTTCAAATCATGACCCCCGGGGGTAGGGCGGGGCCACAGTGGAGGATCAAAGTTTTACATAGAAATATATAGGAAAAACCTTTAAAAATCTTCTTCTCAAGAACAGCAAAGCCATGATGAGTCATATTTATATGGAAGCATCCTCAAGTAGTGTAGATTCAAGTTTGTTCAAATCATGACCCCCGGGGATAGGGCGGGGCCACAATGGAGGATCAAAGTTTTACATAGAAATATATAGGAAAAATCTTTAAAAATCTTCTTCTCAATAACAGCAAAGCCCTAATTGGTCATATTGATATGGAAGCATCCTCATGTAGTGTAGATTCAAGTTTGTCCAAATCATGACCCCTAGGGGTAGGGCGGGGCCACAATGGAGGATCAAAGTTTTACATAGAAATATATAGGAAAAATCTTTAAAAATCTTCTTCTCAAGAACAGCAAAGCCCTGATTGATCATATTTATGTGGAAGTATCCTCAGGTAGTGTAGATTCAAGTTTGTTCAAATCATGACCCCCTGGGTTAGGGTGGGGCCACAATGGAGGAAAAAAGTCTGAAATAGAAATGTATAGGAAGATATCTTCTGATGAAGAACTGCAAAGCCATGATTAGTCATTTTGATATGGAAGCATCCTCAGGTAGTGTAGATTCAAATTTGTTAAAATGATGACCCCAGGGGATAGGGATGGGCTATAATGGGGGATCGAAAATTTTACATAGGAACATATAGGAAAATATCTTCTTCTCAAGAACTGAAAATCATTGTTTAGTCATTTTGATATGGAAGCATCCTCAGGTAGTGTAAATTCAATTTTGTTCAAATGATGACCCCCGAGGGTAGGGTGGGGACCAATAGGGGGATCGAAAGTTTTACATAAGAACATATAGAAAAAAATTTCTTCTCAAGAACAGAAAAGCTATGTTTAGTCATATTGATATGGAAGCATCCTCAGGTAGTGTAGATTCAAGTTTGTTCAAATGATGACCCCTGGGATAGGGAGGAGCCACAATGGGGGATCAAATTTTTACAAAGGAATATATGGGAAATTTTTTTAAAAATCATCTCAAGTACAACAAAGCCATTTGTTATATTGACATGGAAGCATCATCAGGTAGTTTAAAATTCAAGCCCCCCCCCCCCCCTGTAATCTTTTCAATACTGAACTGATTTGTGCTTCTGCCTTGCCAATGTGCTCAGGTGAGCGATGTGGCCCATGGGCCTCTTGTTTTTCATATAATCTTGTCCCATTTTTTCATATAATCTTGTCCCATTTTACCACCTTTGATAAATGTACTTGTGGATCAGCTCAACACACTCAAAACTTTTGAAATGGAATCATTTACATGTATTTTACAATTCATTTTTTTTTTTAAATATTTGTTATTCTTTTTTAATAGCTTTATGTTTAGATAATGCCCCGATCCAGGAAGGTATAACATGTAGAGTTTCATTATCATACTTTGCCATGTTTTTGACATAGAAGATGTTGTTTTGTGTGCCGCTCTGAACTGGTTTAAATTGAAGTACATATATATATTGGATTCAGCTTTTAATGACATTTTTTATAACAGATGAAATGATTCTACTTTAATTAATCACCTCTACATATGATTTAGAACTTTATATGTTTACTGTATAGGAAATTTTTTTTTTTTTTTGAAATCAAACTTCTCAGTTTTTAGCTCACCTGAGCCGAAGGCTCAAGTGAGCTTTTCTGATCAAAATTTGTCCGTTGTCTGTCGTCGTCGTCGGCGTCGTTGTTGTCGTAAACTTTTCACATTTTCATCTTCTTCTCCAGAACTACTGGGCCAATTTCAATCAAACTTGGCACAAAGTATCCTTGGGTGAAGGGGTTTCAAGTTTGTTCAAATGAAGGGCCGTGCCCTCCTCCAAGGGGAGATAATTACGAAATAGCAAAAAATTAATGGCATTATTGAAAAATCTTCTTCTCAAGAACCAGTGGGCCAGGAAAGATGAAACTCATGTGGAATTATTGTCAGGTAGTGTAGATTCAAGTTTGTTCAAATCATGACCCCTGGGGATAGGGTGGGGCCACAATGGACAATCAAAGTTTTACATAGGAATATATAGGAAAAATCTTCAAAAATCTTCTTCTCAAGAACAGCAAATCTATGATTGGTCATATTTATTTGGAAGCATCCTCAGGTGGTGTAGATTCAAGTTTGTACAAATCATGACCCCTGGAGATAGGGTGGGGCCACATTGGACGATCAAACGTTTACATAGGAATATATAGGAAAAATCTTCAAAAATCTTCTTCTCAAGAACAGCAAAGCTATGATTGGTCATATTTATGTGGAAGCATCCTCAGGTGGTGTAGATTCAAGTTTGTTCAAATCATGACCCCCAGGGGTAGGGTGGGGCCAAAATGGACAATCAATGTTTAACATAGGTGTACATAGGAAAAATCTTCAAAAATCTTCTTCTCAAGAACAGCAAAGCTATGATTGGTCATATTTATGTGGAAGCATCCTCAGGTGGTGTAGATTCAAGTTTGTACAAATCATGACCCCCAGGGGTAGGGTGGGGCCACATTGGATGATCAAAGTTTTACATAGGAATATATAGGAAAAATCTTCAAAAATCTTCTTCTCAAGAACAGCAAAGCTATGATTGGTCATATTTATATGGAAGCATCCTCAGGTGGTGTAGATTCAAGTTTGTTCAAATCATGACCCCAGGGGTAGGGTGGGGCCACAATGAACGATCAATGTTTAACATAGGTGTACATAGGAAAAATCTTCAAAAATCTTCTTCTCAAGAACAGCAAAGCTATGATTGGTCATATTTATGTGGAAGCATCCTCAGGTGGTGTAGATTCAAGTTTGTTCAAATTATGACCCCTGTAGGTAGGGTGGGGCCACAATGGACGATCAAAGTTTTACATAGGAATATATAGGAAAAATCTTCAAAAATCTTCTTCTCAAGAACAGCAAAGCTATGATTGGTCATATTTATGTGGAAGCATTCTCAGGTGGTATAGATTCAAGTTTGTTCAAATCATGACCCCGGGGGTAGGGTGGGGCCACAATGAACGATCAAAGTTTTACATAGGAATATATAGGAAAAATCTTTAAAAATCTCAAGAACAGCAAAGCCACGGTTTGTCATATTTTACGGAAGCATCCTCAGATAGTGTAGATTCAAGTTTGTTCAAATCATGACCCCCACTTCCTTTTTAGGGGTAGGTTGGGACCACTTATGCATTTAAGCTTTTAAATACTAAACTGATTTTTCCTTTTTTCCTAGCCACAGTGCTCAGGTGAGCGATGTGGCCCTTGGGCCTCTTGTTTAACTTGAAATTGTTTTTTTTATTTAGGATACATGTAAAGTAGTTACGTAAAATGTATCTACAAGTATTTAGTTTCCCATAAATTTTAAATGAAATTTAACATATATTGCATAATACATAAGTTTAAGTAATATATAGGCACCTGTAATTGGTGTTGTATCAAAAGTACCTCATATCTTTCATGCACACATATCATTTTATTCAATGCAATTAATTAAGTTGATATTATGTACAAATATCAAGGCATTTTATTTTGTAATTGGACCATTTTCTTTTTTCAATAAAATTAACAAAAAAATGAACATTTTATTATAATTTATTTAAAATGATAACTTTCCAGCAAGAGGCAAGGTTTGGAAATTGAATACAGTACACAGTTACAGAAACAGTTGACTCCACAACTTGAGCAACATAGCTCATCATTCTATTGATTTATATTTTAAGTTGCAATATTTTATGAATTATGATGACTGGATGTTATACACATGTAATGCATACCTGGGAAAATGACACCACTTATTGAGAGAGGCTATAAACAAGAAATAGACATATCTACTTTTATATACTATAGATGTACATTTTGGGATTAATTTACGCTACATATGCAGTAATAAAAATTTCTGGGAAATTTGTTGTCGCATACTTTAAGTGCATTTAAGAGGTTCCATAGCAATCCAAGAAATCCACTTTTTTCCTGCAGATTAAACAAGATTTTTAATTCTGCAGAATTGTGATCCTGTGGAAAAAAGGTATGTTTACAGTATACAAAAAATACTGGCATTTTTGAGTTGGTGGCATACAGAAGGTGAGAGTTACAATCATTTGCATATTACCATACATAGAAGAAGGATATTGCATGAAATAAGTTTCATATTTTGATAAACTCTCATAATTTTTTTTGTTGTTTGCTTTGTTTTATTTGTCTACCATGTAACCGGAGGGCTTGATTTTTGGAAGAAAATTAGCTCATCTTGAATGCTTGACAAAATATGCAAACAAAGATGAATGTTTCTATTTATCCTGTATTCTGATGCATTAGTTTGGTGTACAATGGATTACTTTGGTCCTTAACATAGGAGATGGGAGTTTGTCCTTTATTGTCCATTATAGATACACTGTCTGGAAATTGTTTAACAAGGACATCAACAGCATCAGTCTTCTCCATTTCCACTGCCTATCAAATATAACAAGCCTTGCATTAATGGAGTCTGGTTGTTTTTTAATACAATTTTTTTGTTTATTTAGAAACAGTCTAATATATATTTGACAAATACATATCAGACTATTCCTAAATACAGTAAAACATGTTCGCTACAAGTATTTAACTGTATGTGAAATGCAATCTTATGATTTCAAAAAAGTAAGGTACGTTATGGATTAGCTTTATATTTATGTACATAAAATATGTAGGAAATTATCCAAATATATAAAAATAATAATTAACACAAAATCTAGGACACAACAAAAACATTGGTATTTATGATATGAATAAGTGCATGTTCATGTATACAGTAAACTTTATTGCAGTTGAATACCACAATTTCCTAGAGTATGATCAAACCATAATTAAATACCATGAGTTTCCAGAATGACTTTTAGAATGAGAATAGTCTGTGGGTAGTATCAATCCCATTAGATTCAGAAATTATGACTGCATTTGAGCAAGTGCTCCACAGAAAATAGGTGGTTTCAGAGGTGCAATAAGTATCTTCTCTTGACATGCAAACCTCCATTCTCATCTTTGTTATGTATTGTTGATTACTGGAAATATTAGGAAACATTGTAATTTAACACAGTTACCTTATGGAGTGCAGTCTTTCCATCACAATCTTGTATGGTAGGACTTGCTCCTCTTTTAAGTAATAATTGTAATATCTCTATGTTTCCCCTGTATGCAGCTCTATGAAGGGGGGTAACTCCTGATTTGGTTATACAGTTAACATCAGCACCAGATTTCAGCAACAGATCACAGATGTTTAGGTGATTGTTTCTACTGGCATAATGCTGAAATATACAGAAATTGAACTTACGTTTGCTGACAGATAATTAGGTACATAGGTCACAAAGCTTACTTTGATGAATCACTGTTTTAAATAGATTAATTTCAATTAAATATAAGCAAAGACCACAGGCACTGGAAGTTAATGTAAATATTGAGTATGTGTATGTATAAAAAAAAAAGGTCCTTTTTTTACATGCAAATACTCAATATTTACATTAACTTCCAGTGCCATGGAAAACACCAAACTAGATTGATTTTTTTTTAAATTCTCAAAATGGCTTATAACAATTCCTAAATGACACATTTTAATTTTCACTGAAAAGATCCAATTAAATAAACCACTGATATACCACTAGCACACTATATTATACATGTATAATATAATATATTCCTTTGCCATTCTCTTTTAACTTTATCTTTCAAATCAATATGTTAAACCTTTTAATAAAAACCAGCATAAAATTGTGCATGTAAAAAATATTTGAAATTTAATAACTACTACCAGAGCAGTGTAGCCTGAGCTGTCAGTTATGTTGGTGTTTTCCCCTTTCTCTAAATGTCTCTGGACTTCCACATAATCTCCATTTAAGGCAGCTGACCAAATTCCTCGCTCAAACTCCATCTCATCTAGGGTTTGGTGCACTGAAGGGGCACCAGAAGAATGGGCACCGCAATTGTGTGCATGTTCACTGGGAAAATTGTTCATGTTTTGGTCAAAATGAAAGTAGAAAGATGGATACCGATCCCGCGAAAAAATAAGCTTTATTCGTTGAAATAAAATAATAACAAATTATGCCATATTCACAGTGCTTTTGAAAACATGATGTTACACATGAAGAAAACTAGTTTGATACTAGCGTTAAAATATTATTTTATGAATAAAATTCTACCTACAATAATATCATCGGGATCGAATTTCTTTTATGTTGAAAAATGGCTGCGCCCATGACCAAGCCGGTGACACACGTCGTGTTTGACGTGGATGGTGTTTTAATAGGTATTGTTTTGTTAATTTTACATTCCGTCTACCTATTCCACTTGACATTTTGTTGTAATGATGATCTTCTACGTTGAAGTCAGTTCAACTATCAAACCCTACCCTTTCTTAGTCTCTCTAACATTGCATCAGTCTCAGACTGATTCATGATGATCAGTATATACACCGAAGATTATATTCTCAATCTAATCAATGGGGGTGTAGTCCATGAGTGTAAAAAAATAAGGGTAGACTTTACTTTACCGGTCCCCAGATCCGCAAGATCCTCGCGCTCATTGCACTATGACGTAAGATTTACGTCACTCAACTGATTAGAGTTTAGTCTTGCACCCACCTGAAAGATTAGGGTTAGTCCTTGCACAAGTTTTTGACTGATTAGTGTTAGTCTCGCATCCATTTGAGAGATTAGGGTTAGTCTTCGCACATGGGTTAGTCTAGCATCCGCCTGGGAGATTTGGGTTAGTCCTCGCATACCATCCGAGATATTAGAGTTAGTGTCTTGTTCTTTTAGATTAATTAAGAAATTCAGTTGCATCTGTATTTTTGCAAGATCTTAATTCAGCTTCAATGACATCTCGTTGGTTTGTTTACATAAAATAAAGTCTCAGTATGAAAGAAACGGCACTAAGCATGCGCTGCACGCACTTCATTGACAATTATTTTTTGTCTCCTTTTCACTGAATAAACAATATTTATTATTTTTCTTCAGAGAACGAGGTTAAAAACAAAGTTTGAAACTAAACTTTTAACCATAGAATTCAATTTTGGGGTCAAAAAGGCTTAAAACCTCATACTTTTTTAGCTCACCTGAGCCGAAGGCTCAAGTGAGCTTTTCTGATCACATTTTGTCTGTAGTCCGTCTGTCCGTCTGTCTGTCTGTCTGTCTGTCTGTCTGTCCGTCCGTCCGTCTGTAAACTTTTCACATTTTCGACTTCTTCTCAAGAACCACTGGGCCAATTTCAACCAAACTTGCCACAAAGTATCCTTGGGTGAAGGGGATTCAAGTTTGTTCAAATGAAGGGCCATGCCCTCATTCAAGGGGAGATAATGAAGAATAGGTGAAAAATTAGTAGCATCTTTTAAAAATCTTCTTCTCAAGAACCACAAAGCCAGGGAAGATGAAACTTATGTGGAAGCATCCTCAGGTAGTGTAGATTCAAGTTTGTTCAAATCATGACCCCCGGGGGTAGGGCGGGGCCACAGTGGAGGATCAAAGTTTTACATAGAAATATATAGGAAAAACCTTTAAAAATCTTCTTCTCAAGAACAGCAAAGCCATGATGAGTCATTTTTATATGGAAGCATCCTCATGTAGTGTAGATTCAAGTTTGTTCAAATCATGACCCCCGGGGGTAGGGCGGGGCCACAATGGAGGATCAAAGTTTTACATAGAAATATATAGGAAAAACCTTTAAAAATCTTCTTCTCAATAACAGCAAAGCCATGATGAATCATATTTATATGAAAGCATCCTCAGGTAGTGTAGATTCAAGTTTGTTCAAATCATGACCCCCGGGGTAGGGCGGGGCCACAATGGAGGATCAAAGTTTTACATAGAAATATATAGGAAAAACCTTTAAAAATCTTCTTCTCAAGAACAGCAAAGCCCTAATTGGTCATATTTATATGGAAGCATCCTCATGTAGTGTAGATTCAAGTTTGTCCAAATCATGACCCCTGGGGGTAGGGCGGGGCCACAATGGAGGATCAAAGTTTTACATAGAAATATATAGGAAAAATCTTTAAAAATCTTCTTCTCAATAACAGCAAAGCCCTAATTTTCATATTTATATGAAAGCATCCTCAGGTAGTGTAGATTCAGGTTTGTTCAAATCATGACCCCCTGGGGGTAGGGCGGGGCCACAATGGAGGATCAAAGTTTTACATAGAAATATATAGGAAAAATCTTTAAAAATCTTCTTCTCAGGAACAGCAAAGCCCTGATTGATTATATTAATGTGGAAGTATCCTCAGGTAGTGTAGATTCAAGTTTGTTCAAATCATGACCCCCGGGGGTAGGACGGGGCCACAGTGGAGGATCAAATTTTTACATAGAAATATATAGGAAAAACCTTTAAAAATCTTCTTCTCAAGAACAACAAAGCCATGATGAGTCATATTTATATGGAAGCATCCTCAGGTAGTGTAGATTCAAGTTTGTTCAAATCATGACCCCCTGGGGGTAGGGCGGGGCCACAATGGAGGATCAAAGTTTTACATGTACATAGAAATATATAGGAAAAACCTTTAAAAATCTTCTTAATAACAGCAAAGCCCTAATTGGTCATATTTATATGAAAGCATCCTCAGGTAGTGTAGATTCAAGTTTGTTCAAATCATGACCCCCCGGGGGGTAGGGCGGGGCCACAATGGAGGATCAAAGTTTTACATAGAAATATATAGGAAAAATCTTTAAATATCTTCTTCTCAGGAACAGCAAAGCCCTGATTGATCATATTTATGTGGAAGTATCCTCAGGTAGTGTAGATTCAAGTTTGTTCAAACCATGACCCCCGGGGGTAGGGTGGGGCCACAATGGAGGATAAAAGTCTGAAATAGAAATATATAGGAAGATATGTTCTGATGAAGAACTGCAAAGCCATGATTAGTCATTTGATATGGAAGCATCCTCAGGTAGTGTAAATTCAATTTTGTTCAAATGATGACCCCCGAGGGTAGGGTGGGGCCCAATAAGGGGATCAAAAGTTTTACATAGGAACATATAGAAAAAAAATTTCTTCTCAAGAACAGAAAAGCTATGTTTAGTCATATTGATATGGAAGTATCCTCAGGTAGTGTAGATTCAAGTTTGTTCAAATGATGACCCCTGGGATAGGGAGGAGCCACAATGGGGGATCAAATTTTTACAGAAGAATATATGGGAAATTTTTTTTAAAATCTTCTCAAGTACAACAAAGCCATTTGTTAAAACAAATTATATATTGACATGGAAGCATCATCAGGTAGTTTAATATTGAAGCCCCCCCCCCCCCCCCCCCCTTTGCCAATGTGCTCAGGTGAGCGATGTGGCCCATGGGCCTCTTGTATTTCTTTCGATCGCTCATGTGATCTCGTATATATTGAAATCGCCTATGGCAACACTATATTTTAGCGCCTTTTTCTGGGGACCGGTAGTCATTCCAGAAAAATAATATTAAACTCCCACAGCCAGCCTATAAGGCCAAGTGGAAAAAATAAAATGCCATGGTACGCTGCTTGTGATATTAAGGATTGGCATTTGTTATTAGACATTCATCCATTATAATTTTCACAAATGTCATTCTGGAAATGCATTCAAATGTCCAAAATGCATAATATGCTAAATTTAATTGTAACATAACCTGTGGAATTTGACTTTGGGCAATTCCACTGATTTTTATTTTGAAGTTCATTTGTTTTGTTAGAATGTTTCAATACTAACCTCATGTGAACATCAATACAAAACCATTTTGATCGGATGTCTCAATGGCTACATTCTGCCAAACAATAACACTTACACAGAAGAAAATTTAGTGAATGTATAATGATATTTTATTGGACTTGGCAGGGCTAGACAAATAATAGCAGTGCCCGACGCCCGGGACAACAAATTTGTTTGGCAGGCAAGTTATTTGATAAATAGTGCCTTTCTGCGGACAAGTTCTTTCAGTTTACAAAAAGTCATATACTCAAATGCCATTTGTTTTACTGCTGTTAAAATATAATGAATCATGACAGAACACCTTTTTTGCTGCTGTTGACTACTACATTAAATACTCAGTCGGAAATCCTCTAGATTTTACCCATTTGACATGCGTTGTTAAAATATCATTCATGTGTAACAGTTGTTAAAATATACACAAGAGGTAAAGCTATCGATGTCATGTCAAAAAAAGTTGGAGAGGCTTTTAGATCTTTTTACTGGCAAAATACAAAATTCATGCCGTGAATACAGACATTTTTACTGGTATAAAAATTGGAGCTGCTGACAGGCAACCATACGGTCATAAAGTCGATTGTTCAAATGGCATGCAGTAGTATTTTTCTAAATAAAATAATGTATTTATTATTTTTGTTTTCATTTAAATAAATACACACCAATTTAAAAAAAATTAGTGAATACATAATTGAAAAAGAATTTTGAAGATCATAGATTTATCGATAAACTTAAACTTTACCAATGCGGCAATGCCCTAAAAATATGGAAAGAATTCTTAATCTTAAATATAAATTTAAAATGTACTTTTAGTAATAATCAGTGTGCCCTGCACATGCTTAGAAATTCTCCCCTAAATTTCTCTGTGAGAGAATTAAGTGATTTTGCATCTAAGGTAAGTCCCATGTAGCATCTCAGTTGAGAAATGATATAAGGTTAATATTAATGCTTTACTGAATTTCATGCTATTGAAGAAAAAGGTGGCATGAGCAGCACTTTTTTTTTTAAAGAACAAGTATTTCATCGGAGGTAACCTGTCCGAGGGCAAGTAATGCAAAATTCTAATGTCTACTCCTGTTTGGTCAGGATAAAACAGTGTTGAACTGATTTTATATAAGATCATACTCTAGCTTTTGTAATAGAAAGAATGCAGATCTAGAGTATTTTCAAAAACTGTTTTTGAAATGATTTGTGTTAAACCTAAAGCTACCTGGTACTTGCCATAGATTACATTCAGTCCCCTTGTATAGTGCAATTTATGTAATGCACCCTTGTGGTATTAGAGGAATCTAAATCATGTAAATCTTTTCTTAACTACAGTTGACAGTTTAATGCAGCCTTAAACATTGTTTAAAGCATAATGTAGTTAAGACTTCTCCCTAAAATTTTATAAAATCCTATAATTCACATCTCTGTTTTTAATTTCTATAATGAGATATACAGTCCATTCATTACAGTGTATCTTTTTCCAGACACAGAACATTTATATACTGACATTGTTCAAGGGATTGTGGGTCAGTATGGGAAGACATTTACATTGGACATTAAAGTCAAACAGATGGGCAGGAAGGAGCCAGAATCAGCAGCCATTGTTATAGGCAAGTTACTTGTCAGGTTACAAAATTTTAATAATGTAAGATTTCTAAAGTTTCCAGTTTTGTATTAAGTTTTTGTCTTCAAGGTTGTTTTATTTCTTTCTTTTTTTTCTTAATTACTGTCAGAAATTGATTATATCATGATATTTATATGAGAAAAGATAAAATAAAAGATAGTTCTTTAACTGACAATGGTTATGCTTTATAGAGGCCCTAGATTTACCACTGACTGTGGACCAGTATCTAAAAATGGCCCATGAACAACAAGAGAAATTGTTTCCTTCTGTTGAAGTAATGCCAGGTAAGGTATTGCTCTCTCGTATCCAAATCAGAAATATTTGTTTGCAATGTATTTAAAAACTGCAGCAATTTTAGCATAGTGACTTTACTTTATACAACTCATAAAAAAGTCATGATCTTTCAATACATGTGCAAAATGATGATAGTAAAATAAATCTTATTCCAACGAAACATTTAAAAACACATGAAAAACAATGTTTACTCATTTCTTTTCTAGGAGCAGAACGACTAGTCAAACATTTACACAAACATGGAGTTCCTATTGCCACTGCCACTGGTTCTCATACACAGAGTTTTGAATTAAAAACATCCAATCACAAAGATTTATTTTCTTTGTTTCATCACTGTGTTCTGAGTGGAGATGACCCGGAGTGTAAACATGGCAAGCCAGCACCAGATTGTTTCTTACTGGCTGCCAAAAGATTTCCTGACAATCCAGAACCCAGTAAAGTAAGGATTTCCATTTAAAAAAAAGTATTGATACTATGATCAATTGGTGTAAAAGTTTAAAACTTTTGTGGTCAATAATACCTGAGATGTAAAAGTTTAAAAATCCCGTGATCAGTTTTTATGTTAGATGGCATTCACTTGGTTCTTTAAAAGTAGATTCTGGAAAAGCAAAGAATAGTGTAAAAGGAGAAGTGTTTAAGTTTTTGGAGTTGGTCAAACAGTTAACCACATTGTACCAAACCTGCAGATTGCATTTCGTTGAACATTCATTTCATATGAGACCTATCCTAATGAATTACGGTACATGTTTTGAGGCAAGTTTTGTAAATTTTGATGATGTATGTTTATATTCAGGTGTTGGTGTTTGAGGATGCTCCTAATGGTGTGGAGGCAGCCCATGCAGCAGGGATGCAATGTGTGTGGTTACCGCACAAAGGAATAGATATACAAACACATAGACACATGGCTACACTGGTGCTAGACTCACTAGAGGAATTCAAGCCCGAGATGTTTGGACTGCCTCCATTTGACAGTTAATCAACAAAGTCAAATTATTTAGTTATTTAATAGCAACGTTTTAGTTATCCAAATTGCAATGAAAATAGCTAGTGCCTTAAATAGCTAGTAAAAATGAAATAAGTTATTTTGAGGTACTAGTGCCATAACTATATAATAAGTGTATGTAAAGTGGTAGATATATATTTATTCAAGATTTCATGAGAATGATAGTGATTATTTTTTATCTCGGATTTATTTTACTGGTAATTATTATGGATTTAATTTCTTTATTCATGATTTTCAATCAGAATTTTTTATGTTTTTTTTTTAAATCCACTTTAATTTTAGGCATTTAATATACACAGCATCTGTACAATGGGTACTTGTTCATCTTATTATGCATGGTACATGTTCATCTTTTTATTTTTATGCATGGATATTTAAGCTTACTGGTGATTTATTAACTTGAATGAAATGCTTTTTTTTGTGATGATGGATTTTAAGGAAGTATTTTTCTTTTTGCTTTAAGATCAAACAAAAACAGTACATTTCTCTTTGATTAAAATAATGGTTAGTGTGGCAACCCAGAGAATATATGCACTCTGCTCTCTGCAACTTGTTAATGCAGAGGCTTTTAAGCTTAGCATATTGTTTCAAAATTGCTGACCAAAACAATTATCAATAATTCTAATTTATAAAGTATAACTTTTACATTTTGCCTGATTTTTTTTTATCTTGAAAAGAAATTTATTATACATGTACATGTACATGTAACAAGTGTTGCATCCAACCAATTAAGCCTAGAATTAGAAGTTCCCATCAATTACCATCAGTTACTTATACATTGATTGAAATGTGCTTTGTTGTTTAGAACAGTTAATAGGAAGACAGTTGCTATTTGAGTGTTTGCCATTAACTATTTAAAAGCTTCAAAACATTGATGGTTGGAATTTTCTTTTTAAATTTCATAGAATGAGGATCTTCATTTTATGCTTCAAACAAAAAGATAACTGTATTATACATTTTTGATGAGGTAATATGAAGTAAATTCCTTTTCATTTTTTTATTGATGGTACTTCAAAGACACACGCCTTTGACATCAATGTAGTGCTGTACCAGCATAATTTGTGTAAGTCTGTAACTATGGGGTCTTCAAGAGACAACCTATCTACCCTAAACAGTTAATTTATTGTGACAATTTTATTTATGAAGCACCTGTCCAATAGAAACTCCTTTATGCAACAAAAAGCTTTTCTGATTTTTAATCAGAACTTGAATTGTATTTGTGCTAGCGTAGATATATACATTATTTGGGTCAACATTGTAATTAAGCAGAGAAATTTATATGTACGTTACAGTTACATCCTAACAAGTCAAATATTTAACCTTAATGGATTAGGAAATAACTTCTGCCTGCTCATTTGTCCCTTAGGGTTTTATTTAACCCCCCCTTCTTGAAAAGTGGGGGTATATAGTGATGAGATGTCTGCATGTACCTACGTCTGTATGTCCATTACTCATTCTTATACACAACTCCTCATATACCCTGATTAAAATTTACTTAATGATTAATTGCAGAATCTTTATTACAGATTTCTATTGTGCACCTTTTACTTTACGTTTTGATGAGACACATATTTAGGGTGTCTCAAAGTGAAACGTACACTGTCAGTCTTTCTGTAATACTGGGGTACCAATCTCTTATCTGCAATTCCTCCTATATCACTGAATAAAAAATAATGAAACTTTAACAGAATCTTTATTACATAGTGTCATTGTGCATCTTTTATTTTACATTTTTCTCAAACACATATTTGGGGTTTCCTATAGGAAAACATGGAATTTGCTATGATACTCTTATGGGAGCTGGGATATCATTTTGTGAGCTCATATATAAATAGAAAACACATATACATTTTCAGCAACATCATCAGACTTTTAATCAAAAAATATTTAACACATATCATTCATTTAATAATACATCAAACAGACCAGAACCAAGTCCTATAGATTGTGTTGCCATGGTAAATTACTTGTAGGTGAAATCTATAACACTTTTTTTTTAAATTATATATTTTTTTAAGTGTTCATTAGCTGTGTATGTGTAAAGCTTTAGAATGCTGTTGTTTTTTTTTCAAAGCTTAAGTTTGCTTTGACATAGCTTGTACATGTAACATACATAATTGTTATATTACAGACTAGATTACATATGTATAAGGCAAGCAGTCTGCCCAGGTTTTTAATGGACACATGTCTCGTCATCAGCATCATCTATTAGCTAAGCTACTAAGGTGTAAAACATTGTGATTTTTACAACATTTTGTTGAACATTACAGAAACTACTTTACTGTTGTGAAAGATGCATTGGGTTTCAATTGTTGATTTTATCTGTGATTTTATCCATGAAGAATAAATACATAGTATTTTAGATTTCTGTACTTTTTTTAATTATTTTTGATAATAGCCAGTAGATGAATGTCATAGACTATTATGTTGGTTTTTTTTTTTTTGCCTTCTCAATAAACTCTCAAAAATGATGTTTAAAAAGTGAAAACAGAAATGCGTAGTATTTTTGTGTCTCGTTTAATATTTTCAGAATTACCGGACCGGTATAACTTTACTGTATGACATAACTAGTTATGTATAGAAGTTAAGTGTTGAATTTACATACGTTAAATTCCATATGCAATATTGGGAATTGCAGGGGGGAGTTTTAAGAAGTATAAAATATAATAGGTTTGAGTGCTTACTGATTTTTTTAATACTCTCCGATTTTCATTAGATGTTGATTTTTATGATGTTGATGTGGATGCATGTTATATCTTAAACATGTTTGTAAACAAAAATTGACTGTGAACAAACTCAACAAAACGGGGAAAAAAACGTTAGAACGTCACCAAATCAAATTCAAGCCTGAGAAATGTGTAAAATCCATAAGAAGAAACTTCTTGTTGAAGCGAAATATCCACTAAATTCTCAGAAAGCACTTAAAAGTCAAACGGTTTTGGTATAGTGTTTGGTGTGTCTTCCGATTCAACATCTAAAACGGGATCAAAATGTTCGTTTTTATTTGATAAATATATAACAGGGTATGTTATTTCTGGATTATCTAGTGGCTTAAAGGTCTGCCAATGATATTCTGTTGTTCCTCCATATTGTATGGGAGAATACACCATGATCACGGTTCGCAGTAAGGTTGCTGTCGCCATGATTTCTGTGTCAGTCGCCCACTCTCTTGACCTTTTCATACTCGAAATATACTTTGTCATTCCACCTCGACTAAGAAGAAATGTCCGATACGTATCTGGATGATCACTAACATGTTTGGTGACAGCCGTCCGAACTGTCATATGTTCTGCTTCAGAGCCAGACACCACAGCACTGATGGCGCGAAAAAAGCAGTTGCCATCGCCGCGCACTGTGAGAGTTCGTTTTGGCGGGGAATCTTGACTGAATTGTCTCATTTCACCACAACTAATATATTTTTCCAAAGGAATATCCAATACTTTACACTTTTCTTTTTGCCATTCCTTTGTGACAGGAAAGTATGTATACTTTGGTCCCCGCTCTGCCTTTGGTTCCCTCTTTGACTGGTAGTAATCAGAAATATCTTCTTTGTGCGATCTAGAGTCTACCACAGTGTCATATCGAGCCTTACCTCCAGGGTTTGTATGAGGTACCCCTCCCCCTGGGTCACGAGTTTTCTTTGTCGGACCGATGGAGAGATTTTTAAAAGAGTGTTCCATTTTCAACAGAATCTAATAATAGAGAGCTTCGTCTCGAAGAACATATCCCTCACTGTTTCAATTTTTAAGTTCTGAATAAAAATTACACTTACAAGTAATGTGCTATATCATTTCCAAGCAAATGTCATTTATCAACAGTCCAGAAAGCAGGTCGTTGGATTTTAAATGTGGTAGCCAAGAATATATATATACAAAGTTGATTCAACGCAGTGAATAACGGAGGTGTTACATTCCTAAATATGATTTTCCTCAGCCTCTGGACGCGAAAGTAACATTTTTGTTTTCCTTTCTGCTGAACTTCCTCTAAACATGCGCAGGGTCGTCTAAAGATCAATTTATGAGTATGGACATGTTTTTCTGCAACTTATATCGATCTTAGTTCCCAGGTATACAGACATTTAAATACCAGTATTGATCTAAATGGTAGCCCCCCACACTTCAATGCAGCATGACAATGCGCCGATAATTCGACAGATCGATGGAACTAAACTGGTAAACCTCGCTATTATTTAAAATGATTACCGGATGCTTAACCCTTTAAAGAATTTAAATTATTGATTTAGTCTAAATCTAACTGTTTTAGGTGGATCTCTTGGAAAAGTCATATATTATAGTTTCTCTTCAAACCGTCTCCACGTGAATTAGTACTTACATAAACGGGCTTTCTTTTTTTCTTCCCTCGTACTAGAAATTTGACAGTTAGTGTGTGTGTTTTGGCTTTCACTTATCAGACATTGTCATGGACCCCCCCCCCATTAGTAATCATACTTTTTGAAGACCCCTTCCCTTTATTTTTATTATTATTTGGGAAAGGGGGGTGGTGGTGATCCGAATAAGACAAATTGATAATATAGTATAATCCGTCCATGGGTCTCTCGATCCTGTCCTGTTTTCTTATATACAAGTTGTTCAATATTTCCTTCCATCCCTCGATATATCTTAACCAGAGCCACTTAACTTCTACGGCCAAGTTGTGCAAAAGCAGTCAATAATACGTAGCCTCTAAGGAAATTCTTTGTCTGTTGTTGACATTAGTGTTAATTTTTCGAAATACGTGTAGAACGGCAAGCAAACATTACCAAGATATTGTGAATATGACTTGGTGACTTTGGTATATAACTTTGCATTTGTTTTGTTTTATATTTTCTAATAAAAACAACTAATATGAAGTTGCTACATTCATTTATTAATATTGTACATTATACACTGAACATGTGGAAAGTAGTTTATTACTCGGTTTTATAGTTCAGGGTCATGTACGGCTCTAAATAAAAAGGACTTGGATGTCAAGGCACGACACATTTGATAAATAGTCATTATACAATTCAATTCAATTTGTTTATTTACCAATTAAAGGCCCTCATGGGGCAAAAAGAAAGTACATAGTAAACACTTATATATATAGTCATATACATGTAATACAATATACATACATACAAGAGAGAAAGAGTTGCATGATTAATAGGAGAAAAACATAAAAAAGCAGGAATAAACCAGAGAGTTTTTATACAT